TCTGTCATTCTCTGTCTGTTGTTTGGGGAGTTTAATCCATTTACATTTAAAGTAATTATTGTTAGGGAAGGACTTGCTTTTGCCATTTTGGTATTTGTTTTCTGCATAGCTTGTAGTTTGGGGCCCTCATTTCCTCTCTTACTGTCTTCATTTATGTTCAGTTGATTTTTTGTAATGATACTTTTTGACTCTCTTCTTGTTTCCCTTGTGTATATTTTGTAGATATTCTTGTGGTTACCACTGGAATTACGTATACCATCCTAAATATATAATCTATTTTAAACTGATAGCAGTTTAACTTCCATCACATACAAAAACTTTACTCCTTTACAGTTCTGACCCCTCCCCCTTCATCCCTTCATGTTACGTCGCAGATTACATCTTTATGTATTGTGTATCCATAGACTTACAGTTGTTTTCTGACTTAGGTCTTTTAAATCCAATAGAAGAGTAAAAAATGTAATTATAAGCTAAAATCACAGTAATACTGGTCTGTATGTTTGTATGTTTACCTTTATGTGCGAACTTTGTATTTTCATATGGCTTTGCATTCCTGTGTAGCTGCTTTCATTTCAACTTGAAGGGCTGCCTATAGCATTTCTTGCAAGACAGGTCTAGTATTAATGTACTCCCTCAACTTTTGTTTATCTGAGAAAATCTTAGCTTCTCCCTCATTTTTGAAGGACTTTTTTTTTGTTGTTTTTAGGCCAGATATAGAATTCTTGGTTGATAGTTGGTTTTTTCTGTTTTTGGTTTTTTTCTTTCAGAACTTTAAATATATTATCCAGCTCTCTCTGGCCTATGAGGTTTCTACTGAGAAATCCACTTATAACCGTAATGAGGATCACTTGTAGGTGACGAGCTGCTGTTCTCTTGCTACTTTCAAGATTCTCTCTTTGTCTTTGGTTTTTGACGTTTTGATTGTAATGCGTCTTGGTGTGAGTCTTTTTGTGTTTATCCTTCTTGGGGCTTCTTAAAATTTATTTTATTTATTTATTTATTTTTGGCCGCATTGGGTATTCATTGCTGTGCGTGGGCTTTCTCTCGTTGCAGCAAGCAGGGGCTACTCTTATTGTGGTGGCTTCTCTTGTTGTGGAGCATGGGCTCTAGGCACTTGGGCTTCAGTAGTGTGGCATGTGGGCTCAGTAGTTGTGGTTTGCAGGCTCAGTAGTTGTGGTACATGGGCTTAGTTGCTCCACGGCATGTGGGATCTTCCTGGATCAGGGATCAAACCTGTGCCCCTTGCACTGGCAGGCAGATTCTTAACCACGATGCCACCAGGGAAGTCCCCTTCTTGGGGTTTTTTGAGCTTCTTGTATGTGTATATTCATGTCTTTGCTCAAATTTGGAGAGTTTTGGGGCATTATTTCTTCAAATAAGCTTTCTGCCCCATTTCTTCTTCTGTGGCTTCCATAACGTGTATATTGTGTAATGGTGTCCCTCAAGTCACTTCCTCCATGTTCAGTTTTCTTCTTTCCTTCTCATCCTCAGACCTAATCTTTTCCAAAGGCCTGTCCTGAAGTTTGGTGATTCTTTCTTCTCTCTGGTTGAGCCTGCTCTTGAATTCTTCTAGTGAATTTTATAATTCATTGATTGTCTTTTTCACCTTCAGAGTTTCTATCTGTTTGGTTATTTTTATCTCTTTGCTGATATTTTCATTTTACTCATATATCATTTTCCTGATTTCCTTTAGCTCTTTGTGTTTTCCTCTTTGAGCATATTTAAGACAGTTGTTTTCAAGTCTTTGTCTAGTAAGAATGAAGTCTGTATGTGTTCAGGGACATTTTTGGAGATTCATTTCTTCCGTTTCTTTGTATGCATGTGATCTTTTCTTGAACATTTCGCGTTATAAATGCGGCCACCTCTCCCAGTCTTCACAGACTGGCTCCGAGTTAGGGCAGACCTGCCCTGACCAGTGCAGCGTGGAGGCCTACGCTCTTCAGAGGCCTTTTCTGGACACCTTCCCTGGGTCTGTATGTGTGCTCTTCACTCAGTCTCAGTGAGGCTTCACTGGGACCAGTCCTTCAGGCAGCCCTCACGTGGGGGCGAGGGCCTCTCTGCTCTCTCCACGTTGTGAGAGCGACGGGGGCCCAGGCTGCTGCTCCCCTCTTACTGTGCGGTGCAGCACTGGGGAGATGGAAAGCACCACAGAATTCTCTACCATTTAAATGGGGCTCGCTCTTCACTGAGCATCCCTTGGTTGCTGTAGATCTCTGACCAGTTCCCAGAGCTTCGTTGAGTTATCTTACTTTGACATCGTTTAGCTCCTTGGATTTAGATTGCAATTTTCCGTCAAATTTGGGATGTTTTTGTGTATCTCTTCAAATGTTTCTTCTGCCCTTTTCTTTCTGTCTCTTACTGGTTCTCACACCACGCATACACTGTGCTTAATGCGGTCCCATATTTCTCTAAGCTTCTGTCCTTTTTCTGTATCTCTTCTCTTTGTGGCTGAGGCTGCATGATCTCCACTGATCTGTCCTCAGCTTTGCTAATTCTGCCAGTTCAAGTCTGGTGTTGAGATACTATAGTGGAATTTGGTTTTTGTTATGGTACTTTCCCATAACTTCCAGTTGGTTCCTTTATATAATTTCTGTCTCCTTATTGATATTTTCTGCTGGATGAGACATTAGCATCATGCCTTCCTTCATATCTCCTGCAGCACGCTTTTCTCTAGTTCCCTGAATGTAGGTACAGTGGCTGCTCTGCTGGTTCATCATGCCATCTGGGACCTCTCAGGCAGGTTCTCTCGCTGCTTTTCTTCCTGTGTGTGGATCCACTTTCCTGTTTCTTTGTATGTCTGGTAATGTTTTTTGTTGAAACCAGGACATTTTAGGTAATGCATGATAGCAGCTCCAGATACTGGACCCCTCCTTCTCTGTGGCTGTTTTTGCTTGTTTATTTCTTTGTAGTGCGGTGGCTGGATTATTGGGGGAAGTTTGTTTCCACCTGAAGATGGAGCCTCCCATGCTCCTCAGAGGTGCAGCCCTGGGTCTACGCAGCCACCCTGGAATAACAGGGGTTTAGCAGGGCTCTCGCTGGGCGTCTGTGTTATATTTTCTGACCCTGTCAGTGTCATGCCAGGTGTTAGGCTCCACTAATTGCAGGTTAGTTGCTCTGCTGTTTTTTGACAATGCCCTGGTGTGTAAATTGTTCCCTTTGCTGATCTAATTAAATCTGGGCCCCTTTGCAGCTGTAGTTTTTGAGACAAGTTTGCAGTTTGTTCTGACCCTAGAAGGGTTGTTGTTCGATATGTCCTTCCCTGGCTCTCTGGTAAACCAGCTGGCTACAGAGGATGGAGCTACCAGCCTACCCTTAACTGCTCACCACTGAAATCTCCATTGTTTCAGTTGCACCTTTAGACATGAACTTCCCCACAGTGTGTTTCAAATGAAGTCCGTTCCTTTGGGTAGAGTTTCAGAGCTCTCTGATCTTGTGGTTACCTCTTGCCCTGAACAGAGTCTCTGAGCCCTTGCTCCAGAGCTGGCGTGGGGACAGCGACCCCTTGTCTTGGAGGGACAACCTGCTTCATGAGCAGCTCTGGTGAGGCGGTGGCCTCTCCCAGCCTGGAACCTTGCACCACCAGTGGGCTGGGGCCAGGCAGATCAGGGCCCCGGCGTTTTTGCCTGGGATAGAAACTTGGATTTATTAGTAGGGGTGGTTGAGGAAGAGAGCTTTTCCCGTGTTGCTGGCCACGCTCCCTGGGAATATAGCCTCTGCCACTCACAGCTGTGGGGAGATTGGGAAATGGTGGTGGCCTGACCCTCCTGGTGGCTGGCATCTCAGGGAACAGGCAGCCCCGTTCCCTTGGCCACGTTCACCTGAAGTGGAGCTTCCATCATGCTGACGGGGGCAGAGGAGGGAAGGCGCAGGTCACGGCTCAGGTGCCTCAGACTCTCCCGCTCTTACTGACATCTAGTAGATTTTCTTCAATAAATGTTTCCTTATTTGCTGTGTGCCCTCAATTTCGAGAGACTTTAAATGGCTCTTTTGAAACAAGTTCCACCAGTTGTGGACGTCTGCCAGGGAGCAGGTCTGCCAGGTTCCTCAAGCCTCCATCCTGGAATTGGAGCCCCTGGGCTTTACCTTGAGGGCTGAGGGCATTGAAGGGTTGGAGCCCTGCTGAAAGCTGACCTCATCAGCTGCAGCTTAGAGAACCCCTAGGAGAGAGCTGAGAAGTCCCCATGGCAGGTATCACTGGCAGAGGACAGCCACTGTGGGGAAGTGGAAAGGTGACCTAGCTCCACGTAGAGGACTGTCGAGACTTAGTAATTAACTGGTGGATGAGGAGTTAGTGAGGGGAGGGAGGCACTGCAGGACCGGGAAGCACTGCAGTGACTCACAGTCCGCGCTCTGCAGAGTTCTCAGAACGCAGGTCAGCAGCCAGGGCCTGCGTCTGCATGTCTGACGACTCCTAGCGATGCCCGCGCTGCTGGTGCCCCGTTTGGGTAGCAAGGACCTAGGGTTTTGTGTTCAAGCAACTGGCGAATGGCGACAGGGTGGAATTGTCCATTTGCTTGTCTGTTTCCCCAGCTGGAGGGCAGGAATGGTGTCTTTCTCATTGTTGTATCTTGAGTATGTAGAACAATGGGTGACGTCTATAGTAGGTGTGTGATGGTTGAGTGTTTGTTGAATGGCTTAATGACTGTCGACAGAAAACGCAAAGAGGAACAGTGATGTGGGAACAGATGAATTTTATTTGGGGCATGCTGCACGTGAGGTGCCTGTGGTCAGCCAGGTGGAGAAATATTGCTTGTCCTGAGTTCAGAAAGGGGATTTGGGCAAAAGTTACTGATTTGGAAATCGAGAATGCAGATTGTAAAGGAAGGAAAGAGGTGGGGTGAGGTTTTCCTGGGAAGATGCATAGAGGAGAGGGGAGAACATAGACCAGCGCTTATGTCGCTGAAGAACATCTGCTGTGAACACCCCTTGTCACTATGCCCATATTTCATAGCTCTGTCTAATCTTCGTGAGAGTAAACCTTAGGTGCATTTTTGTTGCAGGTTAAAGAACTCTTCTCTTCCCTGGGAGTTGACTGTAATATCTTGGAACTTGATCAAGTTGGTAAGTAGAATGATTAGTACACATTGTTGTTTGTAATAAAGGTCAACAAGATTGACTTCTTTCCGTTTTCCTTATTCAATTCCACTTACTCCTGTCTCTTTCGGTTAGATGAGCTGATTTCATCTACGTTCAACCCCGCAGAGAATGAACCTGTATATGAAAATAATTTGTGTAGATTTTTTTTTGTTTATGTTTTTTGCATTTGAGGGGGGGAGGGACTAGAAGGAAGATGTATAAGCCGGTAAGCTGGAAGTCCTTCAGGCATCTCAGATGTGTCTGCCAACTTTCTAGCACAGTACATTAAGCTGTGATAAATGAAGTGAATCTGCCCCTGTTTCCTGAGTGTATCACCCCTGAGGGGCAACGCGTCAGCTTTATGCTTTTGAATTCCTGTCATCTGTGCACTTTACGCGTGCACGTGTTTTGCAGGAGTGGGAGGCGTCATGGTGAACGGAACCCTGATCTGAGCCTTCGTGACTTCACCCTCCTTTTAGCCAGGTCACTTTAATAAGGGAAGTGTTCTAGAGTCTCTGAAACTTTTCTAACGCGTATCCCGAGTGGGGCGCCTGGAGTACTTATGGCCCAGTTCTGCCTTCAGGGAATATGATCGTAAAGCGTTTTCAAATGTAGTTGCAGGAGGTGTTTTCTGAGTTACCACTGTTAAGGCGGAATGTGCTTTACGTTTGCTCTTTAGAGAGGATTCTTATCGTCTCTGCCTACTCACAGGATCATAAATCAATCTAATCCAGAAGTGTTTATTTTAGAAGGAGTCAGTAGACTGGTCTTGATTCTTTAAGACTCCTTCTGGACACCTGAGTGTTTTCCCCTGTCGAGTCATCATTTATAAAGTTGTATGACGTGCTGACCTCTGTGGGTGTGCAAACGTGGGTGTCTGAGTGTCCTAACACTGCAGCTCAGCTCACAAAGGCTTAGAACCTTTGCAGTGCTTTACATATTTAATCTTTTATTCCTTAGATGATGGGGCCAGTGTTCAAGAGGTGCTGTCGGAGATCACTAATCAGAGGACCGTGCCCAATATCTTTGTGAATAAGGTGCACGTGGGCGGATGTGACCGAACTTTCCAGGTAATGATAGTATCGTGTGTTCTGGAATGCTGTTTGTTCAAATTTTGTCTTAAAAAAAATATTTAAAAGGGGGAGGAGATGGTTTTTAGAAGTCGATTCATTTGTGTCTTTTGGAGCTTGTAAAATCAAAAGCCGGTAGGATGGTTATCGGATAATCTTGACTGCTTTAATGGAAATTAGCTTTTCGACGAATTCAAACTTCAGAAGCTGAGATGGAGGAGGTTTTGAATGAGGTTGCAGGACAGACAGGTCAGCGGCGCTGCTCTCTTCCTCCTGATGGGACAGAAACAAGGCCTCTTCCCTCCTCAAGGTTTAGTGATATGAGCTCAACACTAACCTTCTGGTCCAGGGTGCATAGAACGCCTACCAAGGCTGCTGACCCTGCGAGCTTCGCAAAGCTTTGCTCGTTTGATTCCTAGAATGCAGAAATGAACAGGAATCATTCGGTTAAGTAGAGACAGATCAAAATTGTTATTTATTAAATGAGGTCTGTATTTTAACTAGTCGTTTGCCTTTATTAAAATTCTGCTCTTGTAGCCTTTATGTATGTATGCAAATGGTAATAATCAGTGATTGATGAAATACTTATATTTAGATTTCAATTAAGAATTATATTTTTGTCGGGAGAAAAGATTGTCTACGTTGTATGTTAACCTGGGGTTGGCATTGTTATCTAGTAACAGCCTGCTCTATGTGTCCTAGAAGCTATAACCCAACTCACGTGGTGGTAAGTACCATAGTTCCAGCCTCTAAACACCTTTGGAGTTGCTGATCTTGCCAGTCCTAGCTGGGAAGATGCTGTCAGAGCATGGTCTGGGGCTGTAGAGATGTCAGTTCTACTTCGAGACTGCAAGACTCTCCCTTGGACAGCCGCTGTTGAGGTGGATTTCCCTACGGGCCCCTAGGAAGCAGGAGGCCACCCGGCTTTGGGGCCGTGCACGAGGCATCTGGAAGCAGGAGGCCACCCGGCTTTGGGGCCGTGCACGAGGCATCTGCTGGGTCTGTGGTCGTGCGGCACTTCCACTGCGCTCCCAGGATGAGCCCGTTCGAAAGCCAGTGCGTTGGGACTGAGCAGCCGACTTCGCGCAGACAGAACTATTGTTTAGTCAGATGTGGAGCCTCTGACCTCATCTAAGCTTCTTCTGACCACCAGGAGGGCCAAGTGGACAAGAGAACGTGCTGCAGGGTCAGCCTCCCGACCAGGAAAAGCAAGTCGTTTGTGTTGTATAGGAAGTTGCGAGATTTAGGTCAATTTACGAGAAACCAGGAAAAGCTTCAAAGTGCACGTCCTGCTGCCGATGCATGAGAATTGTTCTCAAGGTGAAGACTAGCACAGGTGGACAAAGCATAGAGGGCCTTGAACAACAGTGCTGGGCTATTTAACTGCACTTAGTTATTCTGTAACTCAGCTCTACCTGCTCGCCACTCGAAAGCCAACACCGAGAAGCAAGTGTTAGTAGAAAGGAAAGTTGCTTTAATCAGAAAAGCCAGCCATCTGGGGAGAAGGCAGACTCACATCCCAAAACCAACTTGGAAGATTCTGCTTGGCCATGAACGTTTTTAAAGGGAAAAAGGGGAAATAATCTCAGTTAATCATTGAGAGAGGAGGTCGGATTCATCTCTCCATCGTGTGCAGACCTGCCAGCTTCTCCTGAGCTTCCCTTGGGTGCCGTCTTGCCCACGTGGTCCACCTGCAGATTTGCTAAGGGGGACGATGGGCATAGAGAGTCAGTCATTCTTTACCTACTTAATCCTTCATTCCTACTCCTTTTAATCCAGGAAAGGAGTCGACAGGTCAGACGAGGTACTGCGTGCATTCAGCAGAGCAGAAATCAGGGGCTAGTTTAAATGTTACCTATGATCTCAGTTTTACAACTAAGGTCTGAGGAAAGCAGAGACGAGCAAACGGAAAAGGGCAGAAGAGCTGTTTACAAAATGACCTTGTCTGACATGGATGTAAGGCCATGACCTCCCCATCATTGGACACATGCCTCACTATCGGGTGATAACCAACAAAACATATGTGCTTTGGCATCCGTTCTAACTAGTTGGACCCAACTGAATGCCATCCAGGTAAACTGACAGTTCCAACTTACAAAGATTGTAGGTCAACTGTTTCCAAGATTTTTATAAAAGAAATTTATGCCGATTAAGCATAGGGTACAAAGAAATAGTTTGAAAACAAGTCACACTGTGTTCTCTCCTTTGGTTAACCCTCAGGCACATCAGAGTGGTTTATTACAGAAGCTCCTTCAGGAAGATCCAGCATATGATTACGACCTCATTGTCATTGGTGGTGGCTCTGGCGGCCTTTCGTGTGCTCAGGTATGAAGAAAATGACACCTGAAGATGATTCTCCTGGTGACTGCCATGAGCATTTCTTCTGCTACTTAAAAAAAAGCCATTTATGATGTTCCAGTGTACTCTGTTGTTGTAATAGCTGGTTTAATGAAGGGGAAAAACTGGGTTTCATCACAAACACCGTCATCGTTTAGGGGAGCGAGAAATCGGGGGAGTGTCAGGAAAATGACAAGGTCTCTATCTGTGGCTTTTTTCGTAGGAAGCTGCCGCTTTGGGGAGGAGAGTCATGGTGCTGGACCTCGTGGTCCCGTCGCCCCAGGGCACATCGTGGGGTGAGCTGCTCTTCCCACCCTCGTGCGGTGGTGGTTCTCTGTAGGCTCAGTCTCCCTCAGTCCTCACAACAGTCTCGAGCGTAACCCACCTGTTTCAGGGGTGAGGAAACTAAATCTCCAGTCACATTGTTAACAAGAGGAGACACTGGAAGAGCAATAGGAAAACGATGAAGGAAGGCTGTGCGGAAGGGGAACATTCCATGAGCCCAGGATTCCGAAGCTGCTGCCAGAATAATGTTTGTACACACGCGTGGGTGTTGTCACACCGTGTGGTCACGCAGTGGTGTGCGCGCCCCGTGGTGCTCGCCTGCGTTGGCCATGATGCTTTTCTGTGTTGCTGCATTGATTTTATCATGGACCCCAGTGGCTGCAGGATGGTCAGTTGACTTAGTGTGTGTGGTCATCCCAGGTCCGTTTAATGCAACGCACAGCAAGCTCCCAGCCTGGGACTTTGCTGTAGACAAGAGTGCTTGCCTGTCCACGCTCTTTTCACTGTAGCACAGAAGGCATAGCTTTTGTGCTGGGTGTTTTCTGTCTGTGCTTCGGTCCATCCCCGTTGTCTGTACCCTGCGCTCCCCACAAACTGGTGGATTGGCCGCGTGCCCTCTGGCTTCTGCTGGGGCGTGGCCATCGGAGTAACGGGAAGAACAGAGGAGGAGGCGTACGGCGGGGTCTCCAGGCCCGCTGGGCACTGCAGGCTGGTTCTCCCCCATGGTCCAGCTTTGGGTGGTGGCACTGGCCCCGTCGCTTACCCCTTCACAGGGCTGGTGGCGGCCCCCCTTGCACCCACTGCTCTTCCTGCCACACCCTGTAATGATTTCTACCCTCTCCTCAGTTCCCCAGCTGGAGAGTCACCTGTTTCCTGCCAGAACCCTGACAAAATGGGAAAGTTGGTTTTGTTTTTTGTAAATAAATTCACTTATTTTATTGATTTTATCGATTTTATTTTTGGCTGCGTTGGGTCTTCGTTGCTGCACGCGGGCTTTCTCTAGTTGCGGCGAGCGGGGGCTACTCTTCGTTGTGGTGTGCAGGCTTCTCACTGCGGTGGCTTCTCTTGTTGCGGAGCATGGGCTCTAGGCGCCCGGGCTTCAGTAGGTGTGGCGCGTGGGCTCTGGAGCACAGGCTCAGTAGTTGTGATGCACGGGCTTAGTTGCTCCGCGGCATGTGGGATCTTCCCGGACCAGGGCTCGAAGCTGTGTCTCCTGCATTGGCAGGCGGATTCTTAACCACTGCACCACCAGGGAAGCCCCGGGAAAGTTGGTTTTTAAAGTTCAAGTTTACTCAAAAAAATTTAGCCTAGAATTTCATATATTAAAGGTAGTTCACCTCAACTTTGCTCGTATGGTTGGGATGCTTGTCTTTCTTCTTCCTTCCTCTGCCCCCGTCCCCTCTCCTGTCCAGAAAGAGTCCGCTTAACCTGGACACCAGGAGAGATGTGCTCTCAGAGGGCTCTTCTGTTTCTAGCCCCGTGTTGTTGAAGGATCCAGAGTAGATGTTACCTGGCAGCTGGCAGTGGACCTGTGCTGGCTCCGAGGAGGACTCAGGTTCGCAGAAGCAAAGGCTGGAGGCTGCAGTGTTGGCCTCAGTGCAGCGTGGGCCTAATTAACCCGACGCGGTTCTGACCACTTTGTGGGTCAGACTCAAGTGGAAGTTTTGGACTCTGTCCCCAGGTTCATGTGCACGTCCATGTTTTGCACATCCCTGGGCCTCCTTCATGGACCCTCGGTCAACAAGTTTGGTGAATCCTTTCGTGTTGTTGTGGGGCGTGATGGTGACCCCGTGACCGTCGAGTTTGTCATTTCCACGTTTTAATAACACCCACTCTGCACGCACGCACACACACACAACGTTACAGCTGTGACTTTCTCTCTCAGGTCTCGGTGGTACTTGTGTGAACGTCGGCTGCATCCCGAAGAAGTTGATGCATGAAGCCGCCCTTTTGGGCCAGGCGCTGACTGACTCGAGGAGGTTTGGCTGGGAGTGCGCTCAGCAAGGTGGGTGATGGTGCGTGAAGAGAGCGGTTGGGAGAAAAGAAGGAAGAGCGAGTTCCTTAGGAGTCCGTGCTGTTTACGTTGCTGGCTGCGCTGTGCAGCTTATGGGATCTTAGGTCCCCGACCAGGGATCGAACGTGGGCCCTCGGCAGTGAAAGCGTGGAGTCCTAACCACTGGACCGCCAGGGAAGTCCCTGTATTTCAGTGTTAAATTAGTTTAATAAACACTTGTGACGAGCCCACCGTGTGCCAGCCAGGCCCAGAGAACTCAAAGGTGGTCAGTTGAAACCTGCTTTCGTGGGCCTTAGTGCTTAGGGAGGGAGCTGTTGCAGCCTCGGCCATTCCAAACCCTTAGCAGAGTGTGAGAGGGAATATCACTATTTTCAGATTTCCTTCAAGTATAAAGAAAACAGAATAGCAAGGGGCATTGTGTGGATTTTATCCATTACTGTGAGGACATTTGCTTTTTTATTAGTGTTTATGTATGTCTTTGGTTAATGAAAAATGGAAAACAAATTCACCAATAAAAATCTATTGGTGGGACTTCCCTGGTGGTCCAGTGGTTAGGACGCTGCACTTCCACTGCAGGGGATGCGGGTTCGATCCCTGGTTGGGGAACTAGATCCCGCATGCCGTGCGGTGTGGCCAAAAAAAAAAACATCTGCAAAGCACCTATTGGTGAGGCTCTGAGGATGCAGAGATGAGGAAACTGTCACTCCTGCCCTGGAGCAGCACAGCCTGCTGGGGGAGGGAGAGGGGAGGGGGGAGGGGAGCGACTTAGTGCCCGTAATTGGCGCTGAGGTTTCCAGCATCAACCTGAGGGGCACTCAGGAGCCTTGAGCCGTGGAGGTGGCGGAGGCGGCCCTTGAGGTAGGGCGCGGGGCGGGAAGCAGCTCGCCGCACAGCACGCGAGCTGTGTGGGCGTGGCCACCATTGCTGGCCGGAACCCCCGGGACCACGGGCGTGCGGTCTGGGAACGTAGTAACCAGAAGGGCCATCGGGACTGCAAGACCTTAGGAGACTTGTCCGCTGAGGTCCTAGGAAGGGTGACATGACGTCTGGGCCATAATCCCTGCCGCCGCCCGAGCCTCCGCACACTGTGACCTCTGCCCCTTCCCTGTGCTCTCCAGTGGGCGGGGCCCTCGAGAGCGCTGGAGGGGTCCAGGTCCAGATATGACCAGAGGGTGAACCCCCGATGGGTGGGTTTGCCTTTGGGGACCTCCCGCAGCTTGACAGGAGCCCTGGGCTGCTGTCTCCTTGGGGACCGGCATCGGCAGATGGGATGGATCCAGGAAAGAAACCCCACCTAGAAGGTCCAGGGTGAGGAGGAGTCTTGATTCCGTCAGCCCCACCCTGGCTTCGACGGGAAGTGGGTGAACTCGGTCATCTAGACGCGGGGCATTCACTGGCACAGCCCCGCCGGGGACCCGGGGGCAGTGGCCGGGGGGGTGTCCCGCACCTGTCCTGGGGGCGCTCCCGGTGCCTCGAGACCCTGGGGCCTGGGTGCGAGATGGCTGCTCCCTGCCCTCCTCCGTGGGCTTTCCTTGTCTTCACAGGTCTGCTTTTCGCATCTTTTGTATTTTAGAGGAGGAAGAAGTATAAGCCGTGACTGGCGTCAAAAAGGTTTCAGTTGCTGGTTATCTTCTGTTCACTTCTTGACTCTTGAAGCGATAGATAGGGTGGCGCATGTGTACATGTGACTTAGCCGTGACAGTGCAGCCCCTTCACACCCCCTGGTGATTTCTCCTCAGTGAAGCACAACTGGGAGACCATGACCGAAGCCATTCAGAAGCACGTCGGCTCTCTGAACTGGAGCTACCGGCGGGCTCTGAGGGAGAAGGCGGTGGCCTACGTCAACTCCTACGGGGAATTTGTTGAACACCATAAAATCAAGGTCTGTTGGGGCGTTTTGTCCCGTTCGTTGCTTTCCTTGCTTCTGCCATGCCTGCCATGAACCCAGACTCCGTGTTGCACGTTGAGGGCTGCAGCTGGTGTGCGTGTGCACAGCTGTGCACGCGTGTGCTTTCCCCAGTGTTCGTTGATTCCACGTCTGACTAAAGTGGAGACATTGCCTTTTAAAGAATTCTCAGTTTTAACTTATTTGCCTTTTGGTTTCATTGCCATCTTGAAAGAGAAAATGTTTAAACAGTTCAGAGTTCAAAATTCTAAAAAGATCAGAATTTTAGGAGTGCAATTCTTTTTTAAAATGAAACCTTAACTAGAACTCCGGTACATATTATTCATAAAAGCACTAGTAAAAGCAGTATCAGAATTAGTGTATTTTATACATTTATATTTGTAATACTTGTGTGTTGTAAGATCAGTACTTAAGGGGAATGAGACTGTTTTGATGATCACAGACATTTAACTGGAGTATGAGAGCCGGTCCGGTACCATCCTCAACACCTGCTCCCCCTCTGCCCTCTGCTTTGGTGGCACAGTACTCGATGGCCTGGACAGGACTTGAGGTCCCTTTGTGGTCACCTGTTGTCTCTAGAAAGGTGTCAGTGGTGTGTTGGGAGCTGAGAACCTCACGTGGCCACAGGAGGCTGGGGCGGGAGCTCCAGTCGGGGGGCTTGTTTCTCAGGCCGTCACCTGCCTGCCTTCTCCCCGCCGCAGCCTGGCTGTTCTGTTCAGGACCCTCCTCCAGGCTGCCCTCCCTCCATCCCACTGTTTTTTCGTTTTCTAATGAAAATGGATTTACGATTTGCTTGTGTAATTGAAAATAAACAAACAATGAACAGCTTTGTGGATTCCGCAGAGCCTGGATTTCCGGACCAAGGTCTTCAGAGTGGGCGCCCTCTTTCCTTGTTCCTTCCCGGCACTGGCTGCTCCCCAGATGCCAGCTGCTCTGCGGCCTGCGCACTTGGCCACGCTCTGTCCTCTTTCCAGTCACCCGCGCGGCCGCCCTGCCTGGCCTTCCAGTCCCCCACTGCCCCGCACCGCGGCCGTAGTGCCCCGGCTGTGAACACGCCTGTTTTCTGTGCAGGAGGTTATCACAGTGCGTTACCATCTTTGCATGTGTGTTCCCGCTGACAGGAACCTCCGTAGTAACTACTGCGTCCCGGGTGTCTGATATTCTCTGGTATTTGATGAAAAGTGAAGTTTGCTTTGCTCTTTTCAAGGCAACCGATGGAAAAGGACAGGAAACGTATTATACTGCAGCAAAATTTGTCATAGCAACAGGGGAAAGGCCGCGCTATTTGGGAATCCAAGGAGATAAAGAATACTGTATCACTAGGTAAGATTAACTAGGCCATCCGACCGTAAGCTGTAAAGAGTATGTTTCTGTGTCTCCAGTGTATTTACTCCCTGTCTTATTTCACAAAAGATTTGAACTAATGACACATCAAAGTACATAACAGATGCAAAGCTAGGCAGTTAACATAATGGAGCAGAGAGCGTAGGCTCGGTAAATAATAAGGTCACAGGTGCACACAGGTGTGTTGCAGGTCTCCTGGTAGGTGCTCTGGGAACGGGTCTGGGATCTGGCTCTACAATTTCTAGAGCTCACAGGGAAGCAGTGATACTTCACTGCTTTAGGGTTTCGTGTCTGTATGGCAGTAATGAAGCAGGTGACCAGGAGAAGCACAGCTGTCCTAATACTGGCATGTCATAGGAATTCTCATTGGACGGTTGTAGCAGGACATATGACCTTGACATATAAAGCTGGACAATGAACTTCAAACTTTTTTGAGCAGGTGCACTTTAACAAATACGTTTTTCACTGTGTGGTTGCTCCGGTGAACACACAACACACACTCCAGACAAAGCCGTGTTTCTTCGTATTACATAGAATGTGGTCTAATATCCTCTATTCCATTTTATTATTTACAAAATCTTGGCCTGTGACCCACTAGTTTGATTTTGAGACACTGGGCTGGACATCCCCCTCCACAGTGGACGCGCATTCCACAGGCTGTCTGTCCCCTTCAGCGCCTGTTCGTTCCGGCCCCGCATGGTACCATCCCGCCCGGAAACCCCTCCTCTCTTCGCAGCGATGACCTCTTCTCTCTGCCCTACTGCCCGGGCGCGACCCTGGTGGTGGGCGCATCCTCCGTGGCGCTGGAGTGCGCAGGCTTCCTGGCCGGCCTGGGCCTGGAGGTCACGGTCATGGTGCGCTCGCAGCTCCTGCGGGGCTTCGACCAGGAGATGGCCGAGAAGGTGGCTGCCTCCATGCAGCAGCTCGGCGTCCGATTCCTGCGCAAGTTCGTGCCCGTGGAGGTGAGTTCCCAGCACCTGCCAGCCTTCGCTGTCGCCTCGCCCTCCCCGCTCCCGCGCTTTCCTGTTGCCCTCGTTAGCTCTGCTCGCCAGGGACCCTGAAGATGGTGCTCCCACCCTGGTCTCGGCGCCCGGCCGCCCCTCCCCCTCCTCCCCTTCCCCCTCACTGTCCCTGCCCCGGCCGCACGTCCCGTCTCAGTGCTGAGGCCTCTGTTCAGGCATCCTCCCCAGCTCCGCACCCATTTATGCAGCCGCCTGCTGGGCATCTCCACTCGAACTCCTCTCAAGCATTTTGAATCTAACAAGACGAGATAAAGCTCTTGATTTCCCCGCCGAATGTACGCCCTGCTGTGTTTCCGGCCTGTCTCAGTGCTCGGGAAGTGGTCCCCTGGAACACGCCATTTGTTAAGCCAGTGCCTGGAAAGCATCCCTCCATGGCTCCCCTTCTGTTGTCTCCAACTAACCCAGCAACTTATCTCTCCCTCCACGTTGTCCCTTGGGACAGCCCTCTTTTCTCTGTCCAAACACCTAAACACACACGCACCCTGTGGTCCACCTATTTTCTGTCACCTGCAGAGATAACCCTTGCACTGTTCCTCCTCACCAGGTTCAGCAGTTGGAGAAGGGGTCACCCGGGAAGCTGAAGGTCGTGGCTAAATCTGCGGAAGGGACAGAGATGATTGAGGGCCTTTACAACACGGTGAGCTGCTGTCACGTGAGCAGTGGGCGGATGAACACGCTCATAAGTTAGTGCAGATGAAACTCAGGGGAAAATCATACCAGCGTCAACTCTTTTCTTGATTCTTCGTGAGCGTCTGATACGTATGGAAGGTGGTTGTGCTGCTGACATTTGATAGTTTTCAGTGGTACAGGAAGCATACGATGGTAACATACGTGTGTGTGTGACTATGCAGAGAACAAAGTCTGGAAGCAGGTATACCTGCTTTTAGTGCTTACTTCTGGGGAATTAGATGTCTTATACATTTCTGCATTTGAATATTTTTGCAATAAACATTGAATATACTTTATAATCCAAACAACAATAAAGGTATTTTCAAAAACAAACAGTGTAGAATCTCCAGACAGTGTGACTAGTCCCTGGACTTTGGGTGGCAACGATTCTAATTTAAACTGATGATATTTAGAGACCATTTCTTTTGTAAACTGTAGTTTATACCTTTAACATAAACTGTACACTTATGTTTTACACACTCTTATAACATGATTCTTTTCCATTAAAAGTAGATAACGTGGAGAGGCTCACCAAAGCCAAAAATATGTAAAACAAAAACAAAAGTAAAAATCAGCCTCTGTTCAGATTTTGATTAGGATTGCGGTGGATGCGTAACCAGTGGGAAACACTGGACTTCTTTGCAGTGTCCATTCTCCCAGTCCATGAACATGGTATATCTGTCCTTTGACTTAAGCCATATGTCATAGTTCCCAGCAAATTAGTACATTTCTCTGTAGACATCAAGAAGGTCTTCTGTTAGATTTATTGCTAGGTACTTACATATTTCTGTATAGTTACAAATGATGCTTTATGAAAAAAATGTCATTGTCTTTCACTGTTTGTTGCTGATATATAGAAATGCTGCTGATTTGTGTGATTTGAGTTAGTATTCAGTAAGCTTGCTAAAGTCATATTTGGTCATGTATCCTTAGATTATGTGGGGTCTTCTTTGTACATGTTCATATCAAGGGTTTTGCTTCCTCCTTTCGACTGTTTCCCTTTCCTCCTTTTTCTTGCACAAGGGCACCAGCCATGGCCTCCAGTGCAGTGTTAACAAGAAATGCAGAGCCAGGTGCTCCTGTCTGTTCTCAGGGTCGGAAGGAAGGCTTTCACTGTTTCATGGTTATAGAGTAAGGTGTTCCATAGGGTTTGGGTAGATATTCTTAATCACGCTAAAGAAATCATTTTCTATTTCTCGTTTGCTCAGTGGTTTCATTTGTTATTTGGGTTTTGTTTGTTTGTTTGTTTTAAAAGTCAGGAGTGGATATTCAGCGGTAAGGTTGTTTCTTTTGTAGCTGTTAATGATTTTTTTTTCTTTAATCTGGTAGTGTGTTGAATTACATTGGTTTTCTAATGTTCAGTCAACTTTGTATTCCTGATAAACCCAACTTGGTAATGGTCCTTTTTATATATTGTTGGATTTGGTTATTTAGAATTTTTGCATCTATATTCAAGAATTGTATTGGCTTATAATTTTCCTTTCATGTACTGAACTTTTCAGATTTTGGTATCAAAGTTATTCTAGCTCATGAAAGAAGTTTGGAATATGTTCCTTCTTTTTCTGTTCTCTGGAAGCATTTAGTAATATTAGAATTAGTTCTTTGTATGTTTGATAGAATTCACTGATGCAACCACCAGGGCCTAGAATGTTCAGTGAAGATATATTCAATTTTCTTTAACAGTCAATGGACCTTTTAAAGCTTTCTACTTTTTTCTATATCAACTTTTGATTTGTTATATTTTCTCAGAATTAGTCTGTTTCATCTAAGTTATCAAATGTATTGGTATAAAGTTGTGCAAAATATCTAAAATTGTGAATTGTTTATTTTTGTAATGATGTATCATTTACATGTAGTGATATACACAGTTCAGTGGGCTTTGACAAGTGTACATGTTTCTGTAATGCACACCCCTTTGAGAATCACAGAGCATTTCTGTGGAGTCGGAGAGCTGTCTTGCGCCCCTTCCCAGTACCTTACCCCAAGCAACCCTGATCTGGTTCTGTCACCAGAGACCAGCTGTTCCTATTTCGATGTCACGACGTGGAGCCCTGTGGTACGTGCTCCTCGGGATCTGACTCGGGAGCCATCCGTGTGGCGTGTATCAGTGGCTGGCTCTTTTCACCGTATGAACTGTCTGAATGTACCACAGGTCACTTTCCTGTGGAGGGATGCCAGGCTGTTTGCAGCTGGGTTCTTGTGACGAAAACTCTGTGAAGGTTCTTGCGTGAGGCCTTCTGTGGACACATGCTTTCCTTTCTTGTGGGTAAATACCTAGCAGTGAAATTGCTTGGTCATTGGGGACTTCCTGTGTTTAACTTTTGGCGAAACTGCCAGACAGCTTCCAAATGATTGTCTCAATCTATATTCCCACCAAGGATGCATGAGTTGTGGTTGTCCTGTAGCCTCACCAACATTTGGGGTTGTCGACTTTTTTGTTTAAGCCGCTCCAGTGCGTGTGTAGTGGAATCTTGTTATAGGTTTAACTTGCATCTTCCTAGTGACTACAGTGATGTTTGGCAACTTCTCATGTGTTTTCTGGCCATTTAAATATTTTCCCTTATCAAGTGTCTGTTTGAGTCTTTGGCGCATTTTTGGTTGGGTTATTGAATTTTATTTGGAATTGCAGGAGTTCTGTGTGTGTTGTGGGTACATTCCTTTTTCAGATGTGTGTGTGTGAATATTTCTTCCCATCTAGTTGTCCATTTAGTTTTTTATGGCATCTTTTGATGAGCAATAGTTTTAAATTTTTGCTGAAGTTCAATTCATCAGATTTTTGTTTTATGATTAAAGTTCTCTGCGTGCTCTACCCAGAGGTTGTGAAGGTATTCTACATTTTCTTCCTGAAGCTTTATAGCTTTATCTTTTATGTGTAAGCCTGTAATTCATCTTGAACCAATTTTTGTTTACAGTGTGAGGTAGGAATTGAGGTTCTTTTTCTTCCATGTTGATACCCAGAGCCATCTGTGAAAAGACTTCTCTTTGTCCACTGAATTGCTTTGGTGCCTTTGTGATCATGTGATGTTTAACTGTGGGTCTGTTTCTGTCCTCTCTGACCGGTTTTGGTCATTGAAGCTTTATAGTAAGTATTAGACCAGGGAGGGTAGGCTCTCTAACTTTGCATAGGGCCTTTCCATATGAAATTTTTTTATTGAAGTATAACTGATTTACAATGTTGTGTTAGTTTCAGGTGTACAGCAAAGTGATTCAGATATATATGTGTGTGTGTGTGTGTGTGTATGTTCTTTTTCAGATGTTTTTCCAATTATAGGTAATACAATATACTGAATACAGTTCCCTGTGCTATACAGTAGGTCCTTGTTGATTATCTACTTTATACATAGTAGTGTGTACCTGTTAATCCCAAACTCCTAATTTATCCCTCCCCACCTTTTCCCCTTTGGTAACCATAAGTTTGTTTTCTATGTCTGTGAGTCTGCTTCTGTTTTGTGAGTAAGTTCGTTTGTATCATTTTTTTAGATTCCACATATAAATGATATCATATGATACTTGTCTTTGACTTACTTCACTTAGTATGAAAATCTCTAGGTCCATCCATGTTTCCAATTTGTTAAAAAAAAAAAAAAAAAGTCCTGCTGGGATTTTGATTGAGATTGTATTGCTTATGTAGATGAATTTGGGAGAACTGACATCTTAACGACATTGATTTTTCCAGTACACGAACCTCATACATCTTTCCATTTATTTGCGAGTTCTTTAGTTTCTCTCAGCAGCTTTTTGTCATTTTGCTGTAGAGGTCTTTCATGTATTTTGTCAAATTTATCTCTAAGTATTTCGTATTTTTAAGCTGTTGTAAATGGTATTTTAAACTTTAAATTTTCAGTGGTTAGTACGTAGTACATAGAAATACAAATGATTTTTGTATATTGACCTCCTTAGGATTTGTTCTGCATAAAACACCAGTTTTGTTTCTTCTTTCCAATCTGTGTGCTTTTATTTCTTTTTCTTGCCTTGTTACACTGATTAAGACATCCACGACAGTGTTGAATGGAAATTGTGAGCGTCCCCCATCTCAGCAGTGAGGCCGTCTTTCATCACAGCTGGGATGTGAGCTCTCGGGTTTTTGCAGATGCCTTTTATCAGGCTGGGGAAGTGTTCTTTTATTCTGAGTGTGCTGAGGATTTTATTAAAATCCTCGACGGGTGTTCAGTTTTGTCAAATGCTGTCCCCACATCTATTGGGATGACTACGTTGTTTTCTCCTTTATTCTGTTAATATGGGGAATTACACTGATTGATTTTTGGGACAAAGCCCACTGTTTTTATGTTGCTCTATTTTACTTGCTGGCATCTGTTAAGGATTTTGCATTTATGTTCCTGAGGACTGTTGGCTTCTAATTTTCTTTTATTTTCCTGCCCTTGTTTGATTCTGTGTCAGATGATTGTGCCGGCCTTCTACAAAGGACTTGGGACGTGGTCCCTCTTCTGTGTCCCGGAGAGTTTGTGTATCATTAATGTTATTTCTTTTTTTAAAAAAAATTATTGATTTATTTTATTTATTTTTGGCTGCATTGGGTCTTCGTTGCTGCACGTGGACTTTCTCTAGTTGCAGCGAGTGGGGGCTACTCTTCGTTGCGGTGTGCGGGCTTCTCATTGCAGTGACTTCTCTTGTTGCGGAGCACGGGCTCTAGGCGTGCGGGCTTCAGCAGTTGTGTCACGTGGGCTCAGTAGTTGTGGCTCGTGGACTCTAGAGCTCAGGTTCAGAAGTTGTGGTGCACGGGCTCAGTTGCCCTGTGGCACGTGGGATCTTCCTGAAGCAGGGCTCAAACCCGTGTCCCCTGCATTGGCAGGCGGCTTCTCAACCACTGCGCCACCAGGGAAGTCCTTAGTGTTATTTCTTAAGTGTTCCATAGACTCTACCAATGAAGTCACGTGGGTCTGGAGTTAATTTATGGGAAGTTTATACATCATGGATTCAGTTTCTGTAGTGAGTATAGCGTTCCTTAGTCTGCTAGGGCTGCCATAACAAAGTGCCACTAGGTGGGGTTTGTCTCGCCTCTGGAGACCAGACCCCTGAGATCGAAGTGTGAGTAGACTGGTCTCCTCTGAGGCCTGTCTCCTGGGCGTGTAGACGGCCGGCTTCTCCGTGTGTCCTCACGTGATCACCCCTCAGTTTTTGTTGTGTGTGTCCCCAAAAACCTCTTCTTATATAAGGATGCACGTCAGACTGGGTTTAGGCCACCCTAATGGCCTTGTTTTACCTTAATCACCTCTGCAAAGGCCCCATCTCCAAATACAGTCACATTCTGAGGTTCTGGGGTTAGGGCTGCAACATGAATTTGGGGAAGGGGCACAGTGCAGCCCATGACGTAGGGTTACTCAGACTTGTATGGGTGCAAGTTTGGGAAATTCTGTCCTTCAAGGACTCTATTTCATCTAAACTGTCAAAGTCATTGGCATAGGGCGCTCATAATACCCCGTCCCTGCCCTTTGAACGTCTGAGGCCATAGCGAGGCTCCCCCTGTCACCCCCGTTACTGACCGTTTGCTTTTGCTCTCTCTCTAAATGTAGGTTTTGTTAGCAATTGGTCGTGACTCCCGTACGAAGAACATCGGGCTGGAGAAGATTGGTGTCAAAGTCAATGAGAAGTGAGTCCCGGGTGTCACCACCCGGCGCTGCACGGGGCGAGTCCCGGCGCTGCACGGGGCGAGTCCCTGCGCTGCACGGGGCATGACCCGGCGCTGCACGGGGCAAGTCCCGGCGCTGCACGGGGCGAGTCCCGGCGCTGCACGGGGCGAGTCCCGGCGCTGCACGGGGCGCGGTGTTTCTACGCATCAGCTCATGGAGACTCTTATCTAATTACTAACATGCAAAGTCTCGATGCTTTAAATTTCCTTTATAAGTACTGTGCCAGCTCTGTATTATCAATTTTTTCATTAATTAATTGATAACTCTTCATGTTTTCCTTAAATATCTCATGCGTTAAACAGTTATTTGAAAACAATTGTGGGAATGTATTCACCTACTTTCTGTGATTTAGAATGAATTTGTATGTCCTTGATCAGGCACAGAGAAAAACTTCAAAGCTATGGGTTTGACTCTGGGGGAATCTAGAGATACTTTGGCACCCAGAAAGTGGGCCTGGGTTTTCAGACAGAAGGGTGTTTCTTCAGGAGCCGGAGGTGCCCCAGTTGTCTGAGCCTGCAGACGCTTGATGACACAGTTGCCTGAGCGGTTAGCGGGGTCTTTCTCTCTGAATCAGCCTTTCCCTGGACAGGCGTTCGTGTCCAGCAGTGCAGCGTCGTCGTAATATCTTTTTTCTTTCCAAACATAACAGGACTGGCAAAATCCCAGTGAACGACGTGGAGCAGAGCAGCGTGCCCTATGTCTACGCCGTCGGGGACGTCGTGGAGGGTAAGCCTGAGCTCACGCCCGTCGCCGTGCAGGCGGGCAGGCTGCTGGCTCGAAGGCTTTTTGGGGGCCGTTTAGAAAAGGTAAGTTTCTTACTGCTGTTTCTGAGATAATGTCTAAAGCAAAATCCTGATTTGAGGGCAATCAGTACAGCTGGCGCCGTGTGCCTGTTTTGCCAGGGAAGCTTCCCCCTAAACCGTTTGCAGTTCTGTACCGTTTACTGGTGGTTTAAAATAAGTATCTTATGCGTATCTTAACGTGCAAGCCATCGTACTGGGTGACGTACGGGGGGCGCCCAGGTAGGGACGTCCTGTCTCCTGACTGGAGGGGTCTGGAAACAGGTCCCGGGTGGATGCTGCTCTGTCACCGGGTGGCAGGGCCCTGCGGCCCGGGGCGGACGGGGCCGGCCTCTGCGCCTGCCCAGCCTGTGGACCTGGTCTAGCCACCCTGCTCCTCCGGGCTCTGTTTCAGCCGACGCATGGCTGACGGTGCATCTGGCGCCCCCTGCAGTCTCCCCACCTCCTGCAGTCTCTGGTCACAGACGAGCCTCTTGCTCTGCGGGCTCTGTCTGCCGGGGCCGACGGCGGTCTCGGGAGCCCCCAGCCCTACGCGTCAGGAGAGCAGGGACCCGTGTGCTGCTGGCAGATGAGGGGCAGCGGGGGAGGTGGCCGGGCCGCATGGGGGCGGGCTCAGGGGGCCTGCTGTGCTGCCCCAGCCTCAGTGCAGAGAGAGGCCTGGCATGTGCTGGCAGAGCGGGGGTCCCGCAGCTGGGAGGGAGGAGTCTGGGAGCCAATCTGGTGTCAGATCATCAAGAATCTGGGAGGCTGCAGTGAGGAGCTTTTATGTCCCCCAGCGTTTCATTCAGAAAGGCGTCAGACTGCAGAAGGTCTGGTGCCAGTCACCCTGTGGACCTCCCACCCGACCGCGCAGGTGTTAATGCCCCCTGCCTGCATTTCCGAGTACGTGGATGTTCAGCACAAAGACTGTTCTGCTGCGCTTCTGGAAGTGAGTGGCAGGCGCTTTGCCCCCAGAAAACGCTTTCAGCAAGCGTCCCCTAAGAGCAAGGGTGCTCGCCTCCATAACCACAGCTGCATCTCCGCGCTGATGGAGTGCGTCACCCACGGGCACACGTGCGCGTCGCCCGGCACATCTGGCTTTTCAACCTCTTAGGTTTCTTTTAATTCGCTAGAGCCCCTGCCTCTATTTACCTGTTTCTTTGCTTTATTTCTCATGATGGTTTTTTTTTTTTTTTTTTTTCGCGGTACGTGGGCCTCTCACTGTTGTGGCCTCTCCCGTTGCGGAGCACAGGCTCTGGCCGTGCAGGCTCAGCGGCCATGGCTCACGGGCCCAGCCGCTCCGCGGCATGTGGGATCTTCCCAGATCGGGGCACGAACCCGTGTCCCCCGCGTCGGCAGGCGGACTCCCAACCACTGCGCCACCAGGGAAGCTGTCATGATGGGTTTTTTGACGGATCCAGGCTACTCTTCTTGCAGAGTGTCTCACGTCCTGGGTTTCTCTGATGCTTTGCCCGAGCTGGTTCAGGTGGGATGTTTGGGGCCCGGCTTCTTCATAAGGAACTCCGTGTGCTGTGTTTCACCACCAGGTGCCCAGCGAGGTCGTGTGTGGAGACCTCGTGGGCACACGGAGGCGTGGGTGGGTGCAGGTGACTGGGACCGTGGCCCTGCTGGCCTCGGCAGGGGCAGGGGTGTGAACAGATGGGGAGCTGTGCCCTCCCCAGGGCGTGAGCACCGGGCTCTAGGAAGCACAGCAGTTGCCTGAGGTCCTGAGAAGCGGATCCCAGGGACGATGGGCAGAGACGTGAGAAGACTGGGCAGCGCCGTGAGAAGACAGGGCAGCGCGTGTGCAGAGAGAGGTCAGAGGACCAGGGCGGAAGGAAGGCTGCAGGTGGGGTGAGGCACGGGCCCGCTCAGGTGGAGGTCGGAGTTGAAGGTGTGGGACGTGCTTTAGGTGAAAGGGGAAGCTGGGAGTTTCCTGTTGATTTTCCTCAGTTGATGTGAAGCAGGAGAAAAGCACCTGCTGAGAATGAGGCGCCCCCTGTAGGCCACGGGATGCAGGGTTGACGGCCAGACTGATGAGCAGCTGAGGACCTAGGAGAGGTCAGGAGCTGCTGCGTGCAGCCGTCTGCGCTTCTGTGGGTTTCTGTAGCCGTGCTGGGAAAAGAACAAATGCTTGGCTGGTCCGTGATTTGCAGGTCATGGAACACGACGTGTCGGGGCCGAAGGTGAGGGTCAGGCTGGCGCGCGGTGTCCATGTTGTCCACCGGGTGCAGGGACGCCCGGTGGTGTGTGATTGGCTTTTCTCTTGGGCCGCAAAGCAGCGCCTCGCTCAGGCCATCACATCGACGGGGTTTCTCATGAGGATCCCACAGTAATCTGGAGGGAGAACCAGGCTGTGGTGGGGCTGGGCTCGAGGCTGCTCTGGGCCCCGAAAGGGTGGGGTTCCTGGTTGGCTACCCCTCTGGCTGAGCATTTCTTCCTGTCCAGCCACCACCCAGGGGCTTCACCACTGGGGGCCTCTCCCTTCGCCTCTAGTTCATATCCTACAGAGGGAAGAATTGCATGGACGTGCAGCGCTGGGTCTTGCCCCTTGCCCCTTTTCCTCTTGCAGTGTGGGTAGCCGGTCGCTCCCTTTGGGTTGGAGTCTCCCCTGAGCTAGTCACCTGTGAGCTGTTGGCGGGGTGGGGGAAGTCGTGCGCTGGGCACTGCTGCCCTTGCGGAGCTGTGGGCGGGAAGCACAGTGACCTTCCTCTCTGGCTCTGCCCGCCCCCTTTCTCGGCCCCGCACACGCTTTCTCTCTGTGCGGTCAGTCTCCAGACAGGCGTGTGCCTGTGCTCACACTCGCGCCCCGGGATGCAGGGCTGCTGGGGACGGCGTGTGGGGCTCAGGGTCTGCAGCCTTCCCGTGATGTCCTCCTTTGCTCTGTCCCAGGCTGATAAGGGCCCTGAAGGGTCCCGTCTCCGGGCCCCGCGGTGTGGCGGCCCTCCACGCGCGTGGCCGTCGCCCCGGGGCGGGCTGGGCCGCTCACCCTGCCCTGCGCGGCTGAGTGGCTTCTCCGCTCATCCCTGCAGGGGCGCGGTCATGTGCACGGCTGCGGTGGCCCAGGTCCCGGTGCAATGGCAGCACGTGGTCCCTGCCCCGGAGTTGGGGCGCGCCCGTCTGCTCAGTGACTCGGTTCCCTGAAACGGTGGCAGTGAGGGTCACCTGCACGGGACCGTGCTTGTTGATCTTCCTCTTACAAATGTCGTCGTATGGATTTTCCCTGTAAGAAGCACCACAAAATAAAAGACCGTGGCTGGTTTGTCTTGCAGTGTGACTATATCAATGCCCCCACCGTGGTGTTCACGCCCCTGGAGTACGGCTGCTGCGGGTACGCGGAGGAGAAAGCCGTGGAAGTGTACCGGAAGGAGAATCTGGAAGTAAGGTGGTGTGACTGTGGCATGTTCAGACCTTCTCTTTTAATCCACGGTTTGTCTTCAGCCACTTTTTATTTTGTAGTTTTGCGAGTTACCGTAATGGTTGTATTGTAGGAAATTGTATTCCTACTTCAGGAAAATTGGAAATTAAATAACGTAAACCCCGTCTGTAGCGAACTGTAATAATCACACAGCTGGGGAAAGAAGGACACGCTGCGTGCATCAGGGCTCCGAGCTGCAACAGGCGTCTGCCTGAGGAAGCTGACGGGAGGGTCGCCGTGCGACCTTCGGGGGCGCGGGAGCGTCCGAGGCCTTGGGCAGGGGTGGGAGCCAGGAGCTGGGAGACGCGTCAGCTCCTCTCCCTGGTGGGGGTTTGTGCGTGTGTGCGGGCAGTGCTGTCCCTGGAGGAACAGAAATGCACGTAGCGGCAGAATGCGGCCCTTCCCTGCTCCGAGTTCACCCATAGTTCTGGCCTTTGGAGGAGCTGACTGACTCACTGTTGTTCGTCTCAGTTACAAATTATGAGGGACGTCCGCTGGTCCGGGCTGGGTGTGCCGTCCACCCCCTCCCGCTTGGCGTGACGGGAGCCAGACACAGGCAGGACCTGGTCCGGGACCCTCCGCCACCCGCGGGCTCAGAGGAGGGGCAGGTCCGGGGCTGTCGGCCTGCTGGGGGCTCCTCAGACGCCCCGAAGGTGCTCTCGCCTCCCCTCCACCCCTGCCCGTCTGGTCCTAACTGCCTCGTAAGCAGGAGGGGCGGGGAGGTGAAAAGGGTCAGAGGTTTAGGACCACTCGATGTTTGAAGGCAGTGAGTTGAAGTCGCAGGCCCTCCCCTGGCTGCGGGAATCCTCCGAAGCACAGGCTGAGGCTCCCGTGCCTAATGGCCGAGTGACTTCCTGAGACTCGCTTTTACGTTTCCGGGCTGGGGGACCAGGATGATGACAGACGCTGCTATTTTAGGTGGTGTTTTCGATGGGAAATTCCCATTTTAGAGGACTTTATTTGATCAGTGTTTATAATTCACTTCTGGTAATAATGAACCACCCATTTGCAGTGGTGAACTTTTACCTGGGTCTTGGAAAAGTGATGGTAACAATTATGGATTTAACACTTAGTTCTAAAACTTTCTGAAATCAATGAGCAATTAAGCTCGGCAGGCACGTGAGAGGAAGGATGCAGGAGGCTGTACCCCAGATAAAGGGATGTCTCTGTAGGAAGGGTTCCCAGGTTTGTGGGGTTACTTTAAGGTCTCTTTCCTAAGGCTCACTGCAGATCAACTCACCTAGTCTGTACATCTATTTATTGCATTTTACAGGACTGAAAATTTGATCTATTAGTATTTTTTTAATATTCCAACTATAAAGAGGAATGAGGAAGCCTCTCATAAACACACATATAGTTTCTTTTAAATGAGGAAATTAGGTGAAAAGCAGATGAGGGTAGAAACAATAAGACAGCGTAAGAAGAAAGATTAATTGGTTCACAGAATTCATGCCGTGAAGTCCGGGGCACTCTCATGTCTCTGATAATGCACTTGTATGCAGAGTATCTGAAGAACTCTTACAACTCAACAATAAAAAAAAACCCCAAATGACCCAGTTTTTTAAAGGGCAAAGAATCTGAATAGATGTTTCTCCAAAGAACATACACAAATGGCCAATAAGCACATGAAAAAGTTCTCAGTATCATTAATCGTCAGGGAAACGTACCTCCAGACCTTAGTGAGATACCACAGGGATGACCTGTAAAAACGTTCACTGTTTCTGTGGGGTCTTTTCACCTTCTTGACGGTGCCCTTTGAAGCACGAAAATCTTTCATTCTGATGAAGTCCAGTTTGTCTTTTTTGTTTTCTGTTGCCAGCCACATGGACTTTGATGTCACTTTTGATAAATCAGTGCCTAATCCAAAGTCGTGAAGGTTGATGCCTATGTTTTTTCTTCTAAGAGTTTTACAGTTTTCAGCTCTTACGTGTGGGTCTGTGGTCCATTCGGAGTTATTTTTTGCACACGTGTGAGGTAGGGTCCGACTTCCTTCTTTTGCATGTGGATGCCCATGTCTCTGGGAACAGCTCCTTCCTAGTAGAGGAAACACCGCCAGTGATCCAGCTGCACATTTGAGTATAATTGGGAGAGTGGGGATGAGAGTGCAGGGGCCAGGGAAGAACGGCTTAAATCCTCCTCAACAGGGCGAGTCAGTAAGTGCAGCCGAGCACGGAGAGTCGCGTGAGAGCAGCGTGAGCGTGTTGTGCAGAAGCACGGGGGCGACCGACCGCGCGCGCAGGACGTGCAGGTGGCTGTGCTGACTGATTAAAGGGGGCCCCGGGGCGGCCCAGGCGGCTGGGTTCATCACAGAGCTTGGAAAATCCGCAGATAGTGAGCATAATTTGATTAAGAGATTAAAACTTTTAAGAAAGACAATCATGGGAGATTCTCTGTTTGTTTTGGCCTCTTGCCACGCGGCGTGGGGGATCTCAGTTCCCCGACCACGATCGAATCTGCGCCCTCAGCAGTGAAAGCACCTGGTCCCTGCACCGCCAGGGAATTCCCAGGGGTGATTCTGAATGAGGAGAGTACTGGGGGGAGACCAGTCCTGTCAGAGACTGAAATGTATCCTCTAACTACACTAATTAGACTTGCGCCGGAGTGGCACGCAGGTGGGCAGAAAGATTAGTGGGACAGAATGTGGAGCCCAGATTGATTCAAGTGCTTAGAAGAGTTAACGTGTGGTAAAGGTGGTATTTTAAATCTGTGGGAAAGGGCATTCATTTAAGGGTGCTGGAGTCTAAGGGGACAGCCTTCAGGGAAAATATGAAGCTGGGTCCACACTTCACACCCACTTTGAACCAGAAGGATCAGAAACTTAAATAAAGTAAAATCTTGCAAGTACTAGGAGGAAAAACACACCTCACACACACGAGGAAAGGAGCGGGAGGGTGTGGGAAGAGGTGTGGGTGCAGGGGCTCAGGGCGCATCAAAGCCAGGAGCCTGCAGTTGCAGCAATCCTGTTTAAAACCTGGGAGTTTGCACCATTTCTTTTCTTAGCCTTAGGGGTGTATTTTAGGAATACTGTCTTGAGATGAAGAAGCATTTATCTTCTGTTCCTAATAGCCACAGAGATTGACAAGTTTGTATTAAACTATGAGGAAGAGTTTATTTCTCTTCGGTTAAATACACATTAAACCTAATGTTTTTTGTTACACGTAGCTGTGAACTATGATGTGTTTTAAATAAAATGTCATTTGAACTACGTATGCATTAACCACTGATACTTCCTTAACTTTTAAAATGGTTATTTCTGGACAGTGGGATTTTTTTCCCCACTTCCTTTGTAATTCTCTGCCCTGTGTTATTCTTTTAATAACCTTGTATCATTGTTATAAAAACAGTAAAGACAGTATTCCAACTGTAAAATACATCATCCTGTTAAAGAACAGAGAGCCAGTACTTCTGTCCCTCCACTGCAGGGGATAGTTGAGAACACACTCCATCCTGGCAGCGCACACACATCCACCGCCTTCTGTGTGGAGTGATTAGGCGGAGGGCCACCGGGACGTGTAGCTGCCCCGAGGGGATGAGGGGATGGACGGACGCTGTGTGGTCCGTCCCTGAGGCCTGAGCAGGTTGGGAGCCTTCGAGGTACCCTGGGCTCTGGTGGAGGGGGGCCTTCAGGTGGCGGGGGCAGTGTTCCTCATACCGTGGGTGGCTGGACTGTCTTGTGGCTTCTGCTTCTCCTAGATTTGGTTTGAATGTGACCCTCACAGGAGGCGTGTGAACCGATGCAGGGCAGGACCCAAGGCTTTCTTTACTGTCTCAGCCCCACAGGGCCTGGAGCGTTGGCTGCTTGGAGAGTAGCCCTCTAGGTGCTTGAGAAGTGAAGTTAGTTAACGGGAGATGTTCTGGGACGGACGGCAGAGCAAAGCAAAGGTCACACACTCTGCAGCTGACAGTTAGGAGCTCGCCCAGGTGCTCCCGTCAGATTCATAAGCTGGGATCATGCAAGTTTAAACTTCTGAGAGCTGGTACAGGAATTGTCGTCTTTGTATAAGGAGGAGCCTGTCAAGCGGCGGTCTCCATGGACACCGACCTTGGCCTCTCTCTTGCAGGTCTACCACACTTTGTTCTGGCCTCTCGAGTGGACAGTGGCCTGCAGAGACAGCAACACCTGTTACGCGAAGATTATCTGCAGCAAATTCGACAATGTACGTCATACGGTTGGAAGCAGGAATGTTCTAATTGTAAAACAAATCTTTTATTCTAGTATTTGGGTTTTTATAATCTCTTTAACGATAGCTCTAAGGGCCAGGTGGAAATCCTTGAAACTGTTACCCAGGCACTGTGTTTGAAGAGTGACAGTTGGGCAGTGACTTACCTTTTCAAAGTCATCGGAATGTGTCACTCCAGAGCCGTCTAACTTGGCAGTTTAGAACCACACGATCTGTGACAATTCGGGTCATCAGTGATGGAATGTGGAGTATGTTTGTGTACATTTGGAAGTACAGGCATACCTCGAAGGTATCGTGCTTAGGTTCCAGACCACTGCAATAAATCGGGTTTTGCGTAACATGAGCCGCAAGATTCTTTGGTTTCCCAGTGCTCATGAAGGTTATGTTTACACTGTACGGTAGTCTATTACGTGTGCAGTCGCGTTATGTCTAAAAAGACAATGTACGACCTTAATTTAAAGATATGCTAAAAAACCCCGACCGTCACCTGCGCGTCAGCCAGTTGTAGCCCTGCTGCTGGCGCAGGGTCCCGCCTCCGGTGCTGCCGGCCGCTGACTGATCAGGATGGAGGCTGCTGAGGCTGGGATGGCTGCGGCCATTTCTGAGAACAAAGCCAGCATGAAGTTCGCTGCACTGATGGCCTCTTCCTTTCATGAATGATTTCCCTGGAGCAGCAGTGCTGCTTGGCAGTATTTTACCCACAGAACTTCCTTCAAAACTGGAGTCAATCCTCTCAACCCCGCAGCTCCTTTATCAACGAAGTTTGTGTCACATCCTAAGGCCTTTGCTGTCGTTTCAAGTATCTTCACAGCCTCTTCACCAGGAGTAGATTCCGGGTTAAGAAACCACTCTCTTTGCTCATCCATAAGAAGCGGGCCCTCATCTGTTCCCAAGTTTCATCGCAAGATGGCAGCAATTCAGTCCCATCTTCAGGCTCCACTTCTAGTTCTGGTTCCCCTGCTGTTCCCACCACGTCTGCAGTCCTTCCTCCGTGAAGTCTCGAACCCCTCAAAGTCATCCAGGAGGGCTGGAATCAGCTTCTTCCAAATTCCTCTTCATTTGGATATTCTGACCTCTTCCCATGAATCACAAGTGTTCTCTCTTTTTTTTTCTCTTAATTTTTATTGGCCACGCCATGCGCGTGAGGCACGTGGGATCTTAGTTCCCCGACCAGGGATCGAACCCGCGCCCCCTGCACTGGAAGCACGCAGTCCTAACCACCGGACCGCCAGGGAAGTCCCGCAAATGTTCTTAATGGCATCTAGAATGGTGAATCCTTTCCAGAAGGTTTTCAATTTACTTTGCCCAAATCCATCAGAGGAAGCACTGTCTACGGCAGCTACAACCTAACAAAGTGTATTTCTTAAGACTTGAAAATCCAAATTACTTCTTGATCTATGGGCTGCAGAAAGGATGTTGTGTTGTCAGGCATGAAAACAACATTAATCCCATTGTCCATCTCCATCAGAGCTCTTGGGTGACCAGGTGCGTTGCCAGTGAGCAGTGACCTACTGCCCCTTTCTTGTACTTTTGTCCAAATTTCCATTTCTGGAGTGTCACCCCACCACTCACTGTCTTCCTGGAGCGATGCTGAAAATCACGGACAGGCTTCCATCTCTCAGAAGCTCCTCACTTTCATTAATAAGTGGCTTCCCCCTCTCTGGGCCGCGCCTTCTCCCACTTTGCTGCACGTGCACCCCTCAGAGGTTCCCGTCCACGGCCCCCTGGATGCGCAGCTCACGGGGTATCCGTTTGCCCACCTGCCACGGGAGCCCAGAGAGTGGGGGGCACAGAGTCCTGCCGCCTGTCATGCCCTCTCTCTTCACCTTGTGCACTTTAACCCTGAAGCTCTGGATGAAGAAAAGTGATGAGAAAACACGGACAGAGGAAGCATGAGCGCTGGGAGTGCGCGGGGACGAACCCGCGTCCGCCGGGGCTGCATGCGCGCAGGGACGAGAGCCGCGCGTCCTTACGGCTCGCGGTCCCTGGGGTGGGGTGTCTGCCGAGCCGACTCGGAGCCGGGCAGCCTGCGTCCTGGGCTGGGAGGAGCGCCGGCTGCCTCCGAACTTAGCCTTATCCAGCACCGGCCGTTAGTCGGGGTTTGTCGTGTTGTCATTTAGCGCGCTCTCAGTGTAACGCGGAAACGTCCATCGTACTGACAGACTCCTTCGCGCAGCAGGTAAACTGCCCGTTCCGGCGAATCTGAGCGCGTGTTCACACGGGATGTGCATTTACTGGATCACCCAGCAGATTCTTGCAGGGCACGGTTTCACGGTGCTGTTCTCTGCTCAGTTCAGCATTAGAGGTGCTTTTCTCTGGGAGTTGCTGTCAGTTTCAACGGTGAACTTGGGATGACAAGATCCCTCTTCAGGTCCTTAACCTACTGGCTTCCCTTTGGAAGGATCGGGTGATAGGATTTCACGTCCTTGGACCGAAGGCCGGTGAGATCACCCAAGGATTTGCAGCCGCCATGAAATGTGGGCTCACGAAGCAGCTGCTGGACGACACCATTGGGATCCACCCCACATGTGCACAGGTACGGACACGGGAGCTTGTAGATGTGGACTCGGTGTGGTTTGGAAAGCTGTGATGAAGCATGTTGTCAGTAGGCAAATCTTATATTCATAACTGCTCTGTATGCCTTAAAGGATGATGTTGGTGTCACGTTCGGGACATGGTTTCTTAGAGCAGAGCTCCAGTACCGACAGCTAAGTGTGGATTCGTGTCGTTTCCTTCCCGTGGGCAGGTGTTCACCACCTTGGAGATCACGAAGTCCTCGGGGCTGGACATCACGCAGAAGGGCTGCTGAGGCTAAGCCGCTGCTGTCGCTTTCCTTGTCCCGCTGCCGTTTCTGTGAAGACGGCGTGCTCTCGGGTAAGCCCGGGGACAGCGTCGGGGCAAGGAGGCGGGACAGCAGCAGTGCCGTCCACCCGCCTGGCTGACGGGGAGGGGCAGCCGCGCTGCGTCCTTGACGTCTTAGCTCGGAGCCGCCAGGTGAGCCAAGACTGACGTCTTCCCCATCAGCTCCCCCGACAGAGCTTTTAATCACACAACTCATCTCAGTCCATGTTCCCGGTTGCTCCTGTTTTTATCCCCTTGCTTTGCTGAGTCCACGGAAATACTTTCTTTTATGAAACTGACTATAAAGTGGGCATCTTCAGTGCATGGGCGTCTGGGACGCCCCCGTAGCTGCCGCAGAGCACTAGTGCGCCACCTCCTCCCGTGGGCACATGTGCAGCCGCCGGCAGACCACCTCGCCCTCTTCTGGTTCCCCACAGTGACCACCTGGCCGCTCTCCTCTTCGTGTCACTGGACTGAGCAGAATATCTGACGTCAGAGAGAGATGCTTAGACTTCTCATGTTGATCTTAAGAATAATATTAAAAAGTTCTCAATACTGTATTATGTGAAACGTAATTTAAAACTTTTTTTTTTTTTTTTTTGCGGTACGCGGGCCTCTCACCGCTGTGTCCTCTCCCGTCATGGAGCACAGGCTCCGGACGCGCAGGCTCAGCGGCCATGGCTCACGGGCCCAGCCGCTCCGCGGCAAGTGGGATCTTCCCGGACCGGGGCACGAACCCGCGTCCCCTGCATCGGCAGGCGGACTCTCAACCGCTGTGCCACCAGGGAAGCCCTAGTTTTAAACTATTTAAGTGGTTCTGTTCTCAGTCTGTTTCCTTACAGTCGGGTTCAGTAAGTGAAAAGGTCATGTTACGAGATTCCTTTTGAGTTTGCACCCCTGTCAGCATCTAAAAGGCCCTTGAGGGGGAAGGCCCACTCGGGGCCCTTTGGGAACCTTGTTTTCTTGGGAACAGACCGCCCCAGCACCAAGTTGAGGGTTCCAGGCGGCAGTGCCCTTCTGGGCCGTACGCTGGCCGCCGGCTTCTGTGGTTAGAACATCTGGGCCTACGTTTTAAAAGACGCTCTAAGCCAGGAACCAATCGGGGAGCATCATCTGTGGGCGGTGCTGGGGCGGGGGTTGGGCACCCAGAGTAACGCACACAGGGTCCACTTACAGACTCTCCTTTCCACTGGGGAGGCGGGCGGAGCGATCGGGTCGTGTGTGCCCAGGGTGGCACGGCGAGTCGCGCAGGGGCCGGGCTCTCACCTGGCACGCCCACGGCCAGCCCAGCCCTTCACAGACCCAACCCCTGTGTGAGCTCAGAGGGGCCGACAGGGCCCTGGTCCCCAGCCCGTGCCGACGCTCCACGGCTGCTCCTTCTAAGCCGTAGTCCAAGACGCCGTGGCCCAGAGAAGAGTCAAGGGAACCTAAATCAGGCTTAAGGACAGCCTGCTGGGAAGTCCGGCTCCTGCACAGCCCTGGAGGCCCGTGTGGATCCATCCACCTCCCTCCCAGGCTCCTGGGAGTCTCCTGACAGCACAGCCGTCTCTGCAAACCTCCTCCTCCGTCTCACTCTCCCTCTCTTCTGTGACCGCGAGGTTGGGCCCGCGCAGACCTCTGGACCAGGCTGGCGTCCCCAGCACTGCTCGCCCGGGGACGGGACACCACAGGCCCCAGGCCAGGCGTGACCGCCCGGCCCGAAAGGCTGCCCCCACCTCAGGGCACAAACAGCTCCGGGGAGGTCCGTGCAGGGCTCCCCTGGGACCAGTCGGCAGGTCAGACCTGCACTGTCCTGCGTCCCTCCCTCGGCAGGTCCCTTGACTAGAACCCCCATCTCGGGGCTGCTCTGGGGACCCCAGCTGACACGCTCCCCCCGTGTTCACTCGCAGATGAAGGCCTCGGGCGTCAGGGCGGGAGGAGGCCTTGCTTTTTACGCCATTTGCCTCTCGTCTCCTCCAGTCCCCACTTGGGACACAGGCGCCCTGGCCATGCTCGCCGTTGCTAGTGCGGTGGCGACCCTGACCGTTCTGAGCCTGGCGGGGCCTCCATGGGGCAGCAGGCCCCGGAGGTGCGCCCTAACCAACCGTCCTCCCCTGCGTTGGCCCAGCCCGACGGTTCCGGGGCTGCGGCTGGGGCTCAGTCAAGGTCAGCCAGAAAAGGAGCTCTTCTGCCGCCAGGGCGAGTTGTTTGCTATTTCTAGGCCTTCTCTTGCGCTTAGTCTGAAGGAGGGCTGGGGGCTCTGCCACCAAACGTGTAGGCGTGGGTGCTTCCATCCGGGGTCCTCGAAGCTGGAACGCCCGCCAGCCCAGCCCTCACGCAGCTGCCCTCACGGCCACGCCCCGGCCAGCAGGGCTTCAGGCTGGATTCCGAGCCACGTGGCTTAGTGGCTGCGGTGTCACTGATTGTGACCTCAGGGGCTTCTGATGCTGCAGTGAGCCTGTGGGCCTGGCCCCTGGGGCCCTGGGCCGGTGCTCGCCTTGTGCGTGGCAGCCAGGACCATAGCCAGCGTCATTCAGGCGGCCCGGTGAGTAGCTGGCCCCTTGGGGGGTTCGCTCACCCACTCCTTTCTGGCTGCAGGCTCCCTGCTGGGGGGCTGGCTTGGAGGCGTGGGCAGTGCCCCTCACATTGGCATCTTCCTGGGCAGGGTCAGTGCCAGGCCCTGCGATCCGTACCCTGACTGGGTCCCTGCTGGGAGCGGGGAGGCAGCCCGTGTGGCTGGGAAGGGCAGCCCCAAGTCGGCTGGGGGAGCAGCAGTGGGACGGAGGCCTGCCCCGTACCCGGCAGGGCCCTCCTGCCCCACGGGAAGCAGGCTTGGCACAGTTCGCAGGGCCAGGCCCAGGGCTTGGAGGGTCTGCAGGTGGGGCCCAGTGGGCGTGGGGTGCCGTCGCCCAGCCCCTCCAGGACTGCACCACGTAGCCCAGACGCAGCCCGGACCCCACCTCTTCCCCACGTGCTGGGGGAAGGGGGATGCAGGCAGAGCAGTTAACCTTTTGTGTGTGTGTGTGTGTGTGTGTGTGGTACGCGGGCCTCTCACTGCTGTGGCCTCTCCCGTTGCGGAGCACAGGCTCCGGACGCGCAGGCTCAGCGGCCATGGCTCACGGGCCCAGCCGCTCCGCGGCATGTGGGATCTTCCCGGACCGGGGCATGAACCCGCGTCCCCTTCATCGGCAGGCGGACTCTCAACCACTGCGCCACCAGGGAAGCCCAGCAGTTCACCTTTTAGAGCCTGTTTCCTTACCTGAAAAATGGGATGATGGTAATATGTCCTCCATCAGATGGAAACATTAAACAAGGTCCTGCACGGAGCTTAACAGGTACTTCACCTCCTGTGCGGACCCAGCCCCGTCCTGGACCAGGGCCCTCTCCTGGCTCCTCGGGGGAGGGCGGCTGAAAGCTTTACCTGATAGCAAAGGGCTGGGGGCCAGGGCCACGGACAGGTCCCTGGTGTCCTCGTAACAACCCTGGTCCCACGTCGGAGGCCGCAAAGGCCCCCTAGCCTGCGCTGGTGTAGAGCTGCCCCGTCCACACGGCCCTTTGCCGGCGGCAAGTCAGGGTCAGGAGGACTCCTTGGTGGGGCCCGGCCTCCAGGACGCTGTGCTCGGGGCTCACAGGCCAGGGCTTCCCGCGTGGCCTTGTCCAGGTGCTCTGTGCCCAGTGGGGCCATCCAGCCTCAAGGCCAGCACGCTCTGTCACAACAGCGGCGCACCTGCCCCAGGCAGCCCTCGAAGCCCTCCGGGGGAGTAGCCTCGCCCACCTCTCCACCTCTCCCCCAGGAGGGAAAACCCAATCCCCACTGGGACAGCGACCTCCTGGGAACCCAGACCCCAGGCTTGGGAAGGGGCGCCTTGTTTCCTGGCGGCTTTGCTCCAGTTTTCAGGAGATCCATTATTATGCAAAGTGTTGTCATGGAAACCCAGCTGCTGGGACTACAGAAGGGTCGGGTGGGCAGCCCCAGCCTGGGATGGGGGCTGGGCTTCAGGTCTGACAGGGAAGGAGGAGCCAGCAGCCAGTGGCTGCCCTGCTGCAGAGGGGTGTGGCGGGGGGAGTGATGCTGGGGCCGGACCGCCTGTGTGTGTGTGTGTGTGTGTGTGTGTGTGCGCGTGTGCGTGTGCGCGCGCGCGAATGTCCGCGTGTGCTCGCGCTTCTCTGTGGTCAGACGCGGTGCTGGGGGGACCTGACCAGCCTTCGCCCTCTCCGCCTGGTTCCTGGCGGCTCAGCCAGTCCCACGACGGGGGACAGGTGCGTGCTGCTGTGAGATGCCTTACTTGGGAGCGGCTCCCGCGGCTCGGCAGGGGTGGGAGGTGAAAAGCGGGGAAAGAGGCACTCCACGTGGCGTCCCCACGGTGGGCAACTCCGCCCAGTCCTGCCAGGTCCTCCACGGGCCGTGCTGTGGGGAGCGCGCCCCGGAGCTGTCCTGGTCAAGGGGCCGGGCAGGCCGGCTTTCCTTCCCCACCCCGTCCCTGCGTCGCCAGCGGGGCTGCTTCCAGGGCACTGGCTCCCGGGAACCTGTCTGGCCCGGCGCAGTCAGACCCACCCGTCAGGTACGTCCGTGGGTGGCTGACAGCATCCACCCGATCCCCACCTGGAACCAGGGCCTCGGCCGGCGCTTCGGGACCTCCCACGCTGGGAGCCGCCGCGCCTGTGGAGCACGGGGTGCCGGCAGGTGGCCGGCATCGGCCCATGAAGGTCACGCACGTGCGGAGGAGCTGGTCAAGGGGCACGTGAAGCCCCAGTGGTCAGGGCTTAACCCCAGCCCTTCTCAGCCCTGACTTGGGTTACCTTTACTCTTGGGTGCCTTAAAAGAGAACCACTCGTAACTGCTGGGCAGGGAAAATGACCCAGCGACTCGAAAACCATGCGGCAGTTCCCTTTAAAACTAACAATGGGCCTCCGTCAGCCTGGTGACTGCACTCCTAGGCGCCTACAACAGAGACAGTCTTGTCTTCACGCAGAAACTCGTACGTGAACTTCTGCAGCACCTTTATTCGTAACACCTCCAGCCTGGGAACTGCCCCGGGGTCCCGTGGGTGACAGTCGGTCCAGCTCAGCCCTGGGCGGGAGCCCCCGCACACCCAGCCCTGCGACGGCAGGAGGACATCAGTCTCCGAAGGGCGCCGGCTGCACGATCCCACCCGTACAACCCCGTGCAGCCACGTCCTCACACAGAGGGGAGCAGATCCGTGGTGGCCGCAGCTGGGGTGTGGTGGAGGGAGGCTGTGGCTGCCGCCAGGGGAGCGGCTGGGAGCCTCCTGGGGCCGGTCAGCCGAGCGTCCCCTCGACCGTGGGGCGACACGGAGCCGCACACGGCATAGAACCGCATCGAGCTGCACGCTCACACACACACTCATTCACATACAAACATCCGTACACCCTAACACACAGACACAGACACACTATACACACAGCAGAGCAAGCATCCTGGAGCAGGGTGCTGAGCGGGGCCCCGGCTCACCGGCAGCTCACAGCCCTCCCCTCGCCCCGTCTCCTCGGCAGACAAGGGTGGGCGGTCAGTCAACGGGAAGCCATGCCGTCCGGGTCCCGACTGGCTCCTCCCGCCTGTCTTGCAGCTGTGGCTGAAGGGCGAACCCCAGCTTAGCCCCCTTCTGCGATGGACGTGAAGGCCCCCAAGAGGTCCCACCAGGGTAAGAAGAGTAAGAACAGGACCGAGGAGAAGTTTGCCAGGAAGTTTCCGTACAGGTACCAGACCCTGAGCCCAGGCCCTGAGCGCGGACCCTGACCCCTGACCCCAGACCCTAACCCCGGGCCCTAAGCCCAGGCCCTGACCCCGGGCCCTGAGCCCAGACCCTGACCCCAGGCCCTGACCCCAGACCCTGACCCCAGGCCAAGCCCTGCCTCCCCGCAGGTACCCTAGGAACGCACTCTGGGGCACAGAGCCGGAGAGGGGCGGTCCTCTGTCCACAGGGAGCTCCCTGACCAGCTCTGCGCTCCGTGACGGTGGGGGTCCACCTTCGCCCCCATCCCACCCTGAGCCAAGGGCCTCCAGAGAGGGGCCCAGGGCCCCCGGGCCCCCCCAGAGCCATGGCCAACCGCTTCCTTTGGTCCAGTGGCCCTGACACCCGTTCATAGCACCTGCTCCTGTGAGGGTGTGATGGGATCCGGCTGCGGGGGGCGGGGGGGGGGCGGGGGAGGAGTTTGCAAAGCCCCAGGGCACTCAGGCGCCAGCAGAGACCGCAGTGTGCTGAGCAGGCAGGCGGGGCCTGGGAGGGAGTGGGAGGACCGCCAGCTGCCCAGAGCAGAACCTTCGGGGCACACGGCCTCCTCACGAGCGCCCGCAGCAGGCTGGGCTGGACACCTCACCTCCACCCTTGTTCTGTCGCCAGGCCCCAGACTCTGTCCTGTGAGGCCCAGTGTGGCAGATGCACGTGGCAGAGTGGCCCTTATGTGAGGCAAGGGGAGACTTACACCTGGGGCCTGGGGCTCCCGGGGCCAGGCCGCTGCTGCAGGGCCGAGACATAGCTCTGGGCCAGCTGCTGGCCCAGATCTCAGCTCCACTGCTTCCTAGCTGTGTGACCTTGGGCAAGTCACTTAACCTCTCTGTGCCTCAGTTTCCCCATCCATAAAGGGCAGAGCAATACCTACCTCCCGGCATGGTTATCAAGCACTCAGAGCGGTGCCTGGAACATGGAAAGTTCCAGGCGAGCGAGAGCTATTCCACGTGTCTGGGCTGCAGCCCCCCAAGAGGCCAAGTGCTCCTGTAGGTTTTCCTGGCTGACGGAGACCAATGCGGAGCCCCTGCAGCCCTGGGAGGTCACGAAGACGAGCAGCTCGCTGCAGAAGCAGCTGCCCCTGCAGAAGACGTTGGTGCCCACGAGGTCCGTCCCGGTCAGAGGGTGAGTCTCAGGCCGGATGTCACCGGCGCTGCCTGCGGACCGCGCCACCCGGCCTTCCACCTGGTCCACACACGAACACACCACGTACAGGCTGAGGAAACTGGGGCCCCGGGGAGACACTAGAGCCCGCGGTCCCTCCCGCAGCCGGCAGGGCAGCTCAGGCGGGCCTGGCCTCACCTGGGGCCTCGTCCACGGGTGGGGAATCAGGGCCGAGCGTAGAGTGGGTTGGAGGGGCCGGCAGGGGACCCGAACTGGGCAGCGCGCGCGCGCACGCACATACACACACACCGGGGGTGGGGGGACGACACGTAGCGAAACACCCAGACACCCTGATAAGGACCCTGCACGTGCAAACCTAAAGACGCACAGACACACCCACTCGCCCTGAACCGGGACTGGCACTCAGGTGTTAGACATAGAAGGGCCTCCCCGCTGCCCCCCAGGACCCCAGCCCCAGGCCCACGGACTGCGACTCCTCCAGCAAAGAGACGTGAGTGGGCACGCAGGTCCTCAGTGCTGAGGCCGGTGTCTGTTCCGAACCGGGAGGCCCCTGGCTCCACACTCCGTGTATAACCCTGGCGAGTCACAAAGATACACACCATCCCCTGAACGGACACCCCGAGAGGCAGCGCACACGTGCACCCCCGCACACGCACCCCTACGGAAGCGCAGATGGTGCCCATCCCCCACCCACGCTGGCCCAGGCTGCGGTCCTGCGTCTCAGCACCCCTCCCTCACTGACAGGCTGGGGGCTGGGGGCACAGGTGTCGCTGGGTCTCAGCTTCTCCTGTGAAGGGGCAGGCAAGTCACGGTCCTGTGCTGGCAGTCAGGTTGTGCGTGGCCGGCTCCTTTGTGCTGGACGGAGGGAGTCTGAGGCCTGCCCCCCGGACTGCCCTCCCTCACACCCTGAGCCCCTTGCAGTGGGTAGACCACCAGGTGCTAAAGGCCAGCGCTTATTTGAGGGGTAATGGGAGCCACTGAAGTCTGGGAAACAGGAGTGGGAGGGTGGCCTCACGTGGAGCTGGGGAGGGTGGTCCAATGGCGGAGTGGGGAGCCTGGTCCACGGGGAGCAGGGAGCTTGGTCCAATGGGGAGCTGGGGAGGGTGGGCCAATGCAGGAGGTGGGGAGTTAGGTCCAATGGGGGAGGTGGGGAGCGTGATCCAATGGGGGAGCGAGGAGGGTGGTTCAATGGGGGAGGTGGGGAAGGAGGCCCAGAGGGGGAGGGGAGGGGAGGGGAGGGAGGGGGGAGGGGAGGGGAGGGGGAGGGGAGGAGGGGAGGGGAGGGTGGTCTCGGAAGGTGGCTGGGGAAGGTGGTCCCCGGGGGTAGGAGTCCGCACACGCTGTGATGCGGTGGCACACGCTGTCGGTCCCTCCCAAGATGGGCAGGTATGGGGCAGAGCGCGGGAGGCGTCCGGCTGCTGGATGCCTAGGCGGGTGGCTGTTGAGAGGCGGCGTGTCCGCGCTGGGAGCAGAATCTTGGTTGCGCCGCGGCTGACTTCTCTGAGGGGGGTTGGGGAGGCTCCCGAGGGTCAGCGCGGCGCTCTGTGTGGCTTCTCTAGGCTGGGGGCCCCGGATTTCCCTCCACTGTGCAGCCTCCGGCCGCCACCGTCACCACCAAGCAACGTCTGGGAGCTGGTGCTGCTGAGCCGCCGCTTCCCCGGGTCCGCGCTTCCCCCCACCGGCCGATGCCGCCCGCCCCCCCGAGGGCCCCTCCTGGAGCCCAGCTCTGCGCCGCCTCTCTCTCGGCCACCCGCTCCCCGGGCGCTCAGGGCAGCGGGCTAAGGTGACCTGTGGGGAGGCGGGCAGCCCTGAGGAGCCCCGGAAAGGTCGCCCCGCGAATACACGCTGCAGGTTCCCACCCCCTTGGAAGGTCGTCTGCATGTCCGGCTGTGTGTTCTCATCCATAAAAGGGGGTGACGGTCAATTCTGCAGCGAGTGAATATCATTTCCAAGAATCTACCCCAAAGCTATGCTCACACATGTAAGTAAAGATGTTTGGACAATGATATTCATTCCAGCGCCGCGGGAAATAGCAAGTGATTGGAGACCACCTAAATATCTGTTAATGGCGGCTTTAAATCCTGCCACAGCTGCACCGCGAAGCATTAGACAGGCATTAGAAAGAAGCAGTCCTTTACATGCCGATCTGGAACAATCTACAAAGGACGTTCAGATATTTTTTAGAGCACAGCAGAGAGTGTCTAAAATGCTGCCATCTGTGTATATTAGAGAGCGGCGTGTGGGTGTATGTGTGTGCGTGTATGAGCGTGCACGTGTGTGTGGGCATGTGTACGCGGGTGCGAGTGTGGAGCAGGTAACAACTTTTGGGTAGAAAAGCTGGGGACTTGGAGACGGGCATACCGTTTTCTAATGTTTACTGCGTGAACCTAACAGCCTCGTTGTGGGTGTTTCACAACTCTAAAGGGAAGACTTGAGGAATGGAAGAGGGGCTCCCGGCCCGCTGCAGTCCAGCCTGCGGAACCCCCTGGCATTCGTAGGGGCAGCGTATGTGGGAGGGTGGCTGCTGAGGATGTAAGTGTTCCCCTCTGTTCTACTGAGACAGGGGCTAGGACGTCATCTTGGAGCCTTGGGAAAGCACTCAGACTGGGACCCTCACTGTAGCCCTCCCCCTGGGAGAGAGGAGGGGGTGGGGACCCTGGGGAGGACCAGGGTGGCCGCCCTTAGCAATGTGGACAAGTGTCCATCTCTTTGCAATAGACGTTTGGTTGTTTCCACTCTTTGCTGTGGTGGGTGAGGCTGCTCTGAGCCTTCCTGTCCGGTCCTGTCCCCTGGCACGTTGTCTCCAGAGAAGACTTGCTGGCCAGAGTGCCCCTGAGCACCCACCCTCACCTGCAGGCACCGCACTGTTTCCCGAGGGTCCCTCTGCACGTGGCCATGAGCAGCTGACAGACAGAGGCTCCTTCAGCCCCACCTCCAGGCTGCACTGGCTGTGGCCGCAGAGCGTTTAGGAAACGGAGCCGGAGGGCGCGTGGGGCAAAGCCGGGGTTCTGTCGTAGAAAAAGCTCAGCCCGTCCCCTGAATCCAGTCCTAAAATGTGCTGCTCCTCAGCGGCTCCTCCCCTGCGAGTTCTCGCTAAAGAGAACGTTTAGGGAGTAAGGAACTCTCTGCTGGCCTCGCTGTGTGCCGAGCATTCGTACACGAGGTCCTCAGAGAGGAAAAGGAGCTTTGGGAAGCACCTCACAGACAACGCGCGACACGCTGCACGTCTGACGGCAGGAGAGGCTGAGCGGGGTTCTCGGTGCAGAGTCACCCCACGGACCAGAGAAATGACCACGGTGGCCCGTGTGGCGCATGGGGCGTGCTGCCAGGGTGCAGCGGCAGCCGCCCGCCCAGGTCCTGCTGCCCTGAGTGCCAACAGAGCCAAACGCACAGCACAGGGCTGAGGACTCCTAAGGAGGAGGTCGCGGGTGCCGGCCCGCCTTCCAGGAGTTTCTCCTGCAGTCACACGCGTGCGTAGGACCAGGTGTGTGCAAGGACGCAGGTGTGCCTAAATGCCTATCGCTGAGGGGCCAGTGAAATAAAAGCAAGTCTGCAGTGGATCCTCCCCAGAGCGGGTCTGGAGACAGGGATGCGGATGCAACTAGTTCAGGTGGGGGGAGGTTCCAGGAAGCGCCACCGAACAGCAGGGAGAGCCTCACCGCAGGCACCTGGGGCTGAGTCCCGGGAGGCCTCTGCAGTTTCCCACCTGAGGGGCAAAAGCTGCAGGGCGGGCCCCCTTGTTCCACCAGACGGGGCTGACGGCTTTTCGAAGGGCGCTCCCTCTGCCTCCGCTGCGGCTGGAGAAGCTTCAAGGCGTGGTCCGGCGGGTGGGGGGTGGGGGTGGGGTGGGAAGGGGGGCTCTGCCTGGAGACGGAATGTGCACCATCCCCCCAGCCCAAAGAGCCAGGGGGTTATTCTAGCAAACTTTTCAACCCTGGAAATAGGCCTCCCAGGAAGCTGCTTGAATGACAAAAGCCACAAGATAAAACCGAAAATAAAACAAAAACAGAAACCGACACCACTACTACAAAAATCTGGGAAACATTTTCCTGACAATGAAAGCTCTAAAAAGCAAAAGAACACTGCAACTTCTTTTAAACAAGTCTTGTAAACCAGTCCGCCTACATCCCTTCCATCCCTGGGAAGGTGCTGACCGGCACCACCCAGTTCTGGAGACTGAGGAACTGGGGAAACGAGACAGTGGTGAGCAAGGTAGACGCTTGGGACCTTCAGCTGGTGATCTCAGTCCCTTTAGGATCTTATGTCTGGTTTTAGTAGAATCCCTGACGGGGCTGCCTGATTGAGAGCCCCCTGGGCGCCCTCACGACTTGTCCAGCTCTGCCCATGGGACCCTGCCTCTCTCGGATCGTCCAGTGACCCAGCCAGGACCCCAGCTCTGGGAGGCTGGCTGACAGCCTGTGCTCTGGGAGGACAAGTGTTCTGGCACCAGCCAGAGAGCTCGGAACAGGCAGATACCCCAAGGCAGGCGAGGGCAGGGCACAGGGGAGGGCCGCGTGGTGGGCTGTGGAGGGTGTGACGTGGAGACACAGGGCGCGTGCACTGCTGCCCCACCTGAGGGAGTGACAGCACGCAGTGTCACAGCAGATCAGGAGGGTGACTTGTAATTGTGATGCCCCTGGGGTGTGGCTTCTGGATGGAGGTAACTCAGCAAACAGGTCGCATCACAGGCTGCGTGGGTGCTGAGCGAGCTTGGAACAAAGCTGTGTGTCATCGGGGCATCGACGGCATGATGTAACAGTGTGTGTGTAGCTTCTGAGGGGGGGGATCCTCATTGCCAAGCAGCCCAGCACACACACACCCCACAAAACCCAGGGCAGGAGACAGCCCGACGCGCAGGGCGTGGCTGAGCTGGTTCAGCTTTAAGCCTTGACCCAGGCAGAGTAAAAGGATAGGTTTCCCCCAAGTGTCGTTGTCGCCCCTTGAGCCAGAATGCAGCAGGCTCCCCATGGTGTACCCCCTCCCTATCCCGCTCCCCACATAACCTCTGGCACCTGTGGGCTGCTGTGAAGGTGACCCAGGCTCAAGATCAGACAACCTCATGCCCCCAGAACAAATGGCAAAATGAGACACAGAAACTCTGAAGTGTCAGAAAGTAACAAAACACATTTACTTCAAAAACGTGAGCTCCCCAGCTCACCAAGGCCGTATAAAGTCTGCCACGACGTTGCAACCTGGGCTCTGTGGGCTCAGGAAGACCGAGCAGGACAGAGACCAAGGGTGGGGCCGGAAAAGGGCCCTCGGAGCTCCCGGCTCGGGACGCCCAGGTGGCCGGCAGCTCCCGATCGCCACCTGGGCGGAGCTGGCGACAAGGCTGGTCCTGCCCTGGGTCCGGCCCAGGAGGGGGGGCGGCCTTCTCTCCTTGTCCAGGGCTGTCCTCACCAGGGCAGGTGAGGTGGGGAGGACCCCGGGATGGGCCACAGGCTGCGCCGAGCCAGCGTTCTAATCTTGCGCCACGGATAGGTTCCGGGGCAGAGTGGACAAAAAACAGGCGCTCATGGGCTTCCCTGGTGGCGCAGTGGTTGGGAGTCCGCCTGCTGATGCAGGGGACGCGGGTTCGTGCCCCGGTCCGGGAAGATCCCACATGCCGCGGAGGGGCTGGGCCCGTGAGCCATGGCCGCTGAGCCTGCGCGTCCGGAGCCTGTGCTCCGCAACGGGAGAGGCCACAACAGGGAGAGGCCGGCGTACCGCAAAAAAAAAAAAAAAAAAAAAAAAAAAAAAACAGGCGCTCGCAACCTAAAAACCTATTATCCCATCCTCAGCCACTCAGGGGTCCTGGGGAAGCACCCGCCGGCTGGGGCGCTTCGAGGAAGCAGGCGGCAGGCACCCAGGGGTCCAGCCACCCCCCGCGGGGAGGTGGGCTGCACCGGGGCTGCACCGGGGCTGCGGTTGGGCGGGGTGGGCGGGCCGAGGGTGAGAGAGCGCGGGGGCGGCGACTCTCCGGGCGGAGTCAGGGCCCCGCAGCCTGCGCAGTCTCCGCGCCCCATCCCCCCGCCCGCAGGGCTAGCGCAGCCGCAGGTAGGAGGGAGCGGAGTAGTTGAAGAGCAGGAAGTCCATCCTGTAGAGGCCGTAGAGGCGCTGCTGGTAGAAAGGGCTGATGTCGCGGAAGAGGCGCGCGGCACGGTCGCGCGCGGCAGCCTGGTCCCTGGACGGCGGCTCGGGGAAGCGCAGGCCGGGCGCGCCCACCAGGCTCAGCACGAAGGCCGCGTCCTCCGCCAGCGTCTCGAACTTGCCCACGACGTCGTAGCGCAGGCGGCACGGGTGGCAGAGCGCGTGGGCGCGCTCCCAGTGCTCGTTGAAGGGCCCGTCGCGGCGCGTGCGCGGGTCCAGCAGGTAGGCCAGGAACTCGGCGAAGCGCACGTCGTGGCCGCGGACCAGCGCGTCGGGGCCCGGGCGCGGCCGCAGACGGCGCACGATGCCGGTGCCGAAGCGGCGCTGGAAGGTGGCGCCCCAGGGCCGCTGCAGCTTGTTGCGGTAGGCCGAGGCCAGGCGCTCGAAGGGCTCGCGCACAAACAGGAAGGCCAGGTAGGCGCGCAGGCGCCGGTTGACCTCGGCCGGACTGAAGTCGGCCAGCGAGGGCAGGCGGCCGGGCGCGTGCGCCTCGTGCGCGGGGATGGCGCGCGGGTCTCCTGGGCCGCGGCCGCTCAGCGCCAGCAGCACGCGCTTCCAGTTGGTGCAGGCCACCTTGGGCACGTAGCAGTAGAGCAGGCCGTGCGCGTCGTCCACCAGCACGTGCCGCAGGTCCTCCGGCCGCAGCAGGCGCTGCCGGCGCGTGTGGTGGCTGCAGGCGCGGCGCAGCAGGTCGCGCCGCTGCCGGTGCACCTCGGCCAGCGCGGAGCGCGGGCCCTGCGGGGGACAGGACGGGGGGGGGTCAGGGCCGCGTGGCAGTCAGGGGGCCTGGATGGGGGGAAATGAATCTACCCGGCCTGAGGCACGTGCAGGATGTGACTGATCGCGTGCACGGCACTCTGGACCCCGAGAGCCGGAAAACGGACGTGCGACGTCAGAGGCAGCCTGGTAAAGAAGTCTGACGTCAGAGCGCCAAGCGCCGGGGCAAACTGAGTATCTGCTCACCGTTCCCTAAAACCGGGGTGGGGTGTAAGACCAGTAGCTTACGCAGTAGTAACGTCCGGAGGATGGCGATGAGACCTGTGCCGTACCCGGGGCTGCTGGTCTCTGAGCATCTTGAGACGTAAGCAGTGCGTGTCCCGATGGCTTAGATTGGCCTCAGCTAGCTTTTCTGTCGCTTGCAGCCCCATGAATACCAAGACAGGCACTGCTTTCTCCATTTTACAGAAGAGAAAACAGCCTCAGAGGAAGTGGGTTGCCTGCAGCTGTCAAGGAGAGACGCTGGGACTCCACCTCGGGTCCCTCAGGATTCAGAAGCCGGGGCTGTGCCCACCGGTTCGGGACGGAGTCCTACAGCCACAGCCCTCATCCCTGCCGGCCTAGCTGACCCTCCGCCAGGGTCTAGTCCTTACGAGCTCTGTGCCCTTCTCAGGGTCCTTGGCCTTCCTGTGCCAAGGGACAGTGCCGTAGGCAAACGGGGATAATGACGCCCCGTCGCACAGGATTGCCGTGAGGCCTGCGTGGACTCCCAGAACTCGAGTGCCCGGTGCACGGTCAGCACTTGTTGGTCAGACCATTTCTCTGCTGTTGTCTGTCCAGCTGCAGGATGCCTTGACACGTAACGGCCACTGGGCCCTCAGGCTGCGAGGGGGCCAAGCCAGCCCCACCAAGGCTTCTTGTTCCCTCAGAAGCCTGCTGAGAGGCTGGCCTGCCCTCCGCTCGCCATGTGGCCCAGGGCAAGCCTGTCACCCTCGCTGAACCAAGGCCTCCCACCTGCCCCCCGAGGGCCTGGGTGCCGTGGGCTCAGCCCTCAGGGCTTCGGTGAGCAGCTGCCTTCCCCAGCCCAGTGTGGTCCTTCTCCCCGGCTCCCTATTGCCCTTGCCCCGCTATGGCCCTCGGCCACCACCACGTACTTGGTGCCGCCGTCCTTCTGCAGGCCCCGTGTCCCTTTCTCAGAGAGGGTCGGTCTCCATCTACACTGCACCCTCCCGCCAGAGCTCAGGGCAGCCTGGACACAAGTCAGTGCAGGCTGGTGCGGGAAGCCATCAGATGCCATCCTGCCCCCGCGGGACCGTCGGCGCCTCGAGGGCAGGGACCCAGGTGACCCGCAGGCACTCGGTAGTGCTGAGTGTGCCTGCTGGGGTGTGTGTGAGCCGGACGTGTGCTCCCAGTGGGCACAGTGTGTGGTCCCTGCAGGTCCCCCCGTTGGTGAGGGGGTGCCTGCCTGTCTCCCTCCGTCACAGCAGGACGGAGATCGGGGGTCCCTTGGCTGCCGCCTGTTGCCGTGGGTGGTGCACAGCCCGCTGGTCGTTCTGTCCGCCACGTGGAACAGTGCTGCAGAGAGCGTGGCCTCAGTCCACAGCTGGAGACCCCAGGTCTCAGCCTGCCCCACGATTTGCCCTGCCGCAGCCCAGCATTCCCTCCCAGACAGAGGCTAGCTGTGGCTGCAGCCCCACGGCAGCAGGTCCACGTGGGAGCTCGGGGTTTCCCGTGGCTGGAGGCGGAGGGAGGGACGGGGCGTCTGTCCGCCTACCTGGTCCAGGTCGTAGAGCATCTGCAGGGGACTCCTCCTCTTGCCGCCAAGCCAGCTGGAGCCCACGGCCCTGTTTTCAAACGCTGGGGGTGTAAGGAGAGGGGCGTTCACTGCTGCACCAGACAGACTGGCCGTGTTCCTGGGGGCTTGGCCAACTCACCTCGGCACGTTGGCTCCACCTCTGGGACTCAGTTTCCCGC